CCTGCAATGCCAGACGGGCAGGAGGAGATAGGGGCGTGCCTCCCCGGGCCATCGGGGGAGAAGAAGAAGAGAAAGAAGACGGGGAAGAAGACTGCTGCGGCAAAGGAGGCGGAGGCTGCCCGACAGTCGCGGCAGTCGCCCCCGTCTGCTTCCTCGTCGGCCCCCGCCCCGCTCCCGCAAAGGGGGACGTGGAGCGAAGTGGCGGCTAGGCCAAAGGCGGCTAAGCCGAAGGCGCCTAAAAAGGCCCCAGTCCGGTCGGCTGCCCCGACCGCTGCCACTCCTGCGGCGCCAGCCACCAAGAAGAGGAAACGTGGCGCCCGGGGGTCCCGCAAACTGCGCACCCCGCAGACTGCAGCGGTCACACTCACGCTGCAGCCGGGCGCCGCGGATCCTCTGGGATCGACGCCAGGCCGCCGACGAAGGCCCTGGGGATCGACGGCCTCCGGCTCCGCACCGCCGTAACCGGAGGTCGGATCCTGGAGGTGGCTGGCGCCGATAGAGCCCAGAAAGCCGACCAACTGGCTGCGAGGCTCAGGGAGGTGCTCGAGGAGGTTCGTTCGGGATCCCCGGCGACCGATAGCCGAGGGCAAATGGTGGAGGAGTGGGCGGTGTCCCAAGGCTTGGTGCTGCTTAACCGAGGGTCGGTCCACACGTTTGTGAGGGCCCAGGCCGGGTCCATAGTCGATCTTTCTTTCGCGAGCTCCGGCTTGGCCCCTCACATACACAACTGGCGGGTAGTCGAGGGGGTGGTGGTGACTTCGTCGGACCATCGGTACATCCGATTCGACGTCGTCCCTGCTGCCTCGGCGACTCGTGCGGCACTGGACCGCCCCGTGGTAGGGGAAGGTCCGCGGTGGCGGCTCGGTACGCTGGACCGGGAGCTAGCCCGAGAGGCGGCTATCGTCGAGCGATGGGCTGCTGTCGAAAGCGGCCTGGACGTGGACGCGAAATGCGAGCGACTCGCTGGAGCGCTGACTCGCGTCTGCGACGCGGCGATGCAGAGGTCGAGACCTATCCCGCCTCGGAAGCAGGTGTACTGGTGGCGTCCCCACCTAGCCGGGCTGCGTACCGCAAGTTACGCGGCCCAGAGGCAGTACACCCGCAGCCGAAGGCGAGCCGTCAGAGACCTCGCCTGCCAAGAAGAACTGCATGCCGCGTACCGGGCTGCCCGTGAGGCCCTCAGCTCGGCGATCAAAGCCGCCAAGGACGAGGCCTGGAAGGAGTGGCTCGAGAGCTTGGATCGAGATCAGTGGGGGCGCCCGTACAAGACTGTGAGTCAGAAACTCCGGCCATGGGCGCCTCCCCTAACCAGAACTCTCGAGCCGCGCTTTTTGGACCGAGTGGTCAGATCCCTCTTCCCTGCGAGGGAAGAGTGGGTCCCGCCGCGGATGGCAGCACCATCAAGCCAGGTGCCGGCAGACGAAGGGGCAATACCTCCCGTGGACGACGCCGAGTTAGGGGCGGCGATACTGGCACTCCGGTCCAGGAATCGCGCCCCGGGCCCGGACGGCGTATCCGGGAAGGTTATTGCCACTGTCATGCCTGCACTAGAGGAGGAGACGCTGTCACTCATGTCGGAGTGCCTGGCGTCTGGGAGAGTCCCGCGACGATGGAAGACCGGCAAGCTCGTGCTTCTTGAGAAGCACGGGCGCCCATCCGAGTCGCCGTCGGCCTACCGCCCCATCGTTCTGCTCGACGAGATGTGCAAGCTTTTTGAGCGAGTGCTCGCTGCACGTCTCGTCAGCCACCTGGAGGGGGCGGGGCCCTACCTGAGCGATGGCCAGTTCGGCTTCCGTCGCGGGACAGCGTCGACGAAGCGGTCTCTGGGGGTGAGGTGGTGTTGGCTGTGTCGCTGGATATAGCCAACGCCTTCAACACCCTCCCCTGGGAGACCATTGCGGAGGCGTTGAGGTTTTATACTGACAGTATAAAATCGCCCGCGTCTACGAATGAGAGTGGCCACGGGCGGTGGGTCGGGGGACCTGCCGCCCCCTACTAATGTGGCGGAATGCGCCCCTCTGTGTTCGTGTTGTGCATTCATGAGGAGGACAGGCCCCACCATCTGGGCACTCGTGAGAGATTGAGGGGCCTCGAGAGAGACGAGCCCGTTAAATAGGGCGTCCCTAGCCGAGTCGCGGTACGTACAATTACCTTTGATGAGCGCGTCTGTGAAGATATTTATAAAACCACACATAGTCGAGATTCAGATGGAAGATATATTGTGAAATTGCCCTTTAAAATAACACCACAAGAAATAGGATCTACTAGAGACATAGCACTGAAGAAACTAGAACAATTAGAACGACGATTAGAAAATAAACCCAAATTAAGAGAAGAGTATAGTAAGGTTGTGGAAGAATACATACAGCTTAAACACATGGAGAAGGTCCCAAAAGGAGAGATAAATAAAGTGTCAATTTATCTACCACATCACGCCGTGGTACGAGATAGTGAAACCACGAAGGTGAAAATTGCTAATATTAATTAATGTATTACTAAATTTATACTTAATTTACTAAAGTAATTAGCAAACTAGTATTTATTTATTAAAGAATATGTAATAATAACCTATTGCTAAAAACTATATTTTAAATAACATCGTAAAAAGTATCCTTAAAAATTTGTCTGTAAAAGTTGAAAAGTGTGGTAATAAATTGCTGTGCACGTGTACAAAACGCTTGTCGCTTCCAGGTACGCAGGTTTTTGAGATACCCTCACTACATATTTGTTAATTTTTTCTTATGTACGTAAAGGGATAATTTTGAATTAATTTGTTTGTGATTCACCTTTACTCAATCTAAATGAAATACTCGTAGTATTAGTAATTCCCGTCTTCCGTTCGCGTTCTTTTTTTACGGTTTATCTGATTTGTTTTAACTAAGTCGTGATTTAATTTAACTCTTATTAATGTATTTTAATTACTTAAGGCTGATTTTATTTATTCATTTTAATTCATAATTTGATTTAATTTGAATGGTTTGATTCTGATTGTTTATTTTATTGAAAAATAGTAACACTACATAATATACGTTCCTATGCTGAATTGAACTTCATTATATGGTACTGGTTTAAACAAGTTGTATTAAACTGCATCTTTCATAGGGCTGAACACTGGTCCCCAAAATACAGGCACTCGCCTAGTTTGGGGGAGCAGCATCAGTACATTTAATCTAAATCAAAGAAAACAATAATGTTCTACATAATATAAAAAATTGAATTGTGTATTTGTATGTATTTTTGGGCAGTTGTACATACGCTAAGAGAATTATTTATATCTTGATACAAGATCAGCTGTTACTCCGTGGTTCGGTGTGTCTTCGTAAGATGGCGCTGTAGTATGTTTCTTCGTTTCGCCGTAGCCAGCATTTGAGAAAATACAAGAGAAACTGTTTTCAATGAGAATGTTTAAGAATATTTTGGGCGCTGGGGAGTAATTCTAAACTGAGCCCATGGAAATTTTGTTTTATGCCACAGTGTAGCACTGAGGAGGCTTTCTACGATATAAATACGGTGAACGTGATAAATACACTTAGGATACAGAAGAAACTTGTTGTCGTTCCCTGAACATCGAAGGGAACTCAGAGATCTCGAGGTGCCTTCGCTGTACGAGGCCAAAAGAGGGGGACAGGCAGATCGACGAATGAGTTCGGCGATAAGGGTGAGCATACTCTTTCATACAAAAAAATTAGTCCTTCAAGCTTTCAAGAAAAGAACGCACTTCCACCTCAGAGAGTGGCAATGCACTTGTGACTCTTGAGTTGCAGGTTCTATTGGCGGCGGCAGGTATTTCCTGTCAGAAGACGCGCTTGTTTGTATGCCACCTATACCATAAAGAGAAAATATAAGGGAACTATCTAACTAACTGAACACAGTACCACTTTTGTATTGGAAGTCGGTTAAAAATACCCCGTAATTGCTGTTTAAATACCACACTTTGCCTGCTAAGCCACAGTGTTTGTTAGTTCTATGTAATAGCTTTCGGAACAACAACAATTATATTGTTCGATAGTGACAACTTTATCGGAGTAATTATACACCGGCATCATTCAACGTTAAAATTAAAGAGCTCAATTATTAAATATTGAGGTTTTTGCCGTTAATCGAAATAGTTTTTGCGGGTACTTATATACATTTTTTTTTTTGTTTCTTTATAGTAATATATAAACACAATTAATGACAATTCCACTTGTTACATCCAACACTGACTGACATGCAGCTCGGGTCTCTTTAACTGGTACCTTAAAACCTACTAGAACCTTTTTTGCTCACTTACAGGCACCTCTTAAAATTCGTTAAAGGTTCACTCATATTGTCCAACGTTCCGAAACGTTTTCGGAAAATATGGATTTTTTAATATGAGTTTGACACTGGTTTAATCAAAATTGTAATTGAGTGAACACTATTTTTGGAAATTGCTGGAATGTTCCTTTACGAGTATTAGAAACGTCTTCGTTGGAGTCAGTTCAGTTCGAGCCACAGTGCTAAAAAATTGAAGCGAATATAAGTGTAACCCAACGACCTCGGTGATCATTCCGGACTATTCTTCAGTATTGTGTGAACGGCTTAAAGTGTAGTAATAATAAAGTCTCTTCAGACGACTTAGAAGGCTTATTATTCCGAATCAACGAACCTTAACACGTAACAGTATTATATTGATTATTGTGTAATATATTGTATTCATATTAATGACGTACAACAAACAGATATATTCTTAAAATATTATTATAAACATTTTATTGCAAAATTTCAGTTGTAAAGTTTAGGGCCCATAGTGATAGATATGCTATGAAGTTATATCATAAATTGAACAATACAGCCTAAGCCTAACATTGTAGAAAATTGTGCGGTAGCACTGTATAATTATGTCTTCACTATTGTAACTCGTTTCAAAAGTAATTACATTGAATAAATAACTACTCAACTCAGGGTATTTAAAGAGTGGCGCAACTGCTTCGCAATTCATTATGTTTTGACAATTGGATATTTCTAAATTTATTTTTATGAAACATGTAAGAGTGCTGTATGGTAGTAATGCAGTCGATGTGAACGTATAATACATTTAAATGCGCTGTTTTCAGGTCTCTGTGCGCGCTCAGCATATACCCACACTTGCGCGTACTGCGCCTCGTAGGGTTCTATCGGGTGAGTGCGGGTGCCATGGGTGTTGGTGCCGCGGGCAATAACAACCGTATAATTGGTGTTCTTCTCCGCCTGTACCACGTGTTTGCACTGTTTATGACCGTCGCATATGTTCTGCAGCAATTTATCTACGGTTATCTGGCAAGTAAATATTGTTGTTTTCTAGCATTGCCGGTCCACGATTTCTGTGTTCATTGGTATTAAAGGGTAATTTTAGATTTTTGGTTTGAACCAACTTGAACTTTTTAGAATAAACTGTTTTTTTATACTATTTTTTTTTATAAAATTGATTATTTTTCCATACTTAGTATGAACAATCATAGGTACGTAGAAGGTTGAACTACTTCATATAAGGTGCGCGAGGTAGCAACCTGCGGAATACGACGGTTTGATGCACATATTGAAACTGGGAATAGGCTCCAAAGTTATGTTGAGACTGAACCTTTCTGTTACTAAAGGCCTGGTTCAAGTATCTTATCCAAATTTAAATAGCCTGCCCTTCGCCCTGATCAATTAGAATCAGGCGAGTTACCCGATTCGGTTTTTATTAAATACTTGCTATACCCTGCCACGCTTCACTGTGGTACATTGTGGTAGCAAAAAATAGATAAAAAACATATTTAAAGCTGGCTGAATATCGAGATATATATAAATTATAAGATTTAATAAAGATATATAAATGATATATGTATAAATTATGAGGACTCACAGATAACCCCCATAAAGGTTCCGCATTATTAAACACTCGTACTCGATGTGCCCGCTGCTTCGTACGCTTCGTACTTCGGTTTTGGGTATTATAAGGGACTAATAATTTTATTCGTGTCGTGATTAAGATTTTTGTATTATGACAACTTTTCTAAAATAGGTAGGTACTATTTTTGGCCAAAGGTCAGCAGTCTCAGTGGCTTGTCGTAAATCGCTCGCCAACTACATTTTGGAGTTTTTAAAAAACAGCTTCTATCTTCCTTTACGGGCTAGAATCTAGTTTATAAATGTACGAGCCACGTTATACATTTCTGGTATCATGCTGTTATACTTTGAGCTGTGTCAGCACTTTATTCATTTATTAAATCATTCTTCAGTTCAGTTCGCGCGCCTGCCATTTCTTGAAAACACATCTCGTGAACAGCCTGTAGATTCCCTGTGCGAAACCTGTTTCACTTTGTTTGCTCGGGAATAAAAGTGTCCGCCCGCTCGTCAATATTATGTTTTTGTATTCTACCCTAAACTTAATACTATTAAGTTAATGTTATTATTTTAATTGCTTATCTTATTTACTTTTCAATTGTTATGCACTAAATTGATTTTGCATCTTGTGGCATGCCGCATAAACCTCAGTGGTTTAAGTTTTGTCCACATTTAACTAATTGTGTAGTTTTGTAAATAAATAAATGAAAAACAGAGGTCACAAAAAAATATTGCTGATGAGTTTTTTTTTACTATTGAGCAATAATTTAACAAGTACAATATCCAAATTTATGCTCAAAGCGTCTTAGAAGTTTCTCAATTAGTTAGCAGAGTACAACGTGGGCATCATCCAACTTCAGTGATGATTTGGTGTGGTGTTAGCTATCAAGGAGTGGCTGTGTCGTATTGTTGTTGTGAAGAAGGTGTCAAAATACCAAGTTAATTTGGAGTCCCTAAAACAATTCAAAAGTAATAATTGGTAGTGAAGACTTTTCCCAATGAGAGAGTGTTTGTTTCTATTGATAACTTGCCTCAACGTTGAAAGAACTGTATTTAAGTATAAAATATTAATGAACATACTACCACACATACAGTAATAAATGTTTCAACAGAAAAAAAAATTACTTGAAACAATATTTTTGTTTCAATACTATTTATTATATAATATATTATCTAAAGTTGAATTAATGTTAGTGTATAGGTTTACAATATTATAAATACACGTTATTTACTAAGTTATCTATTAAGCAGGAAAGGAATGACTTGGATAAATTGTCCAAAGTGATGTTCCTGCTGTTGTGCCACATAACCTGCGTTATCAAACAAGTCGTATTTTACTTTAGAGCGGATGAAATCGACGAGCTCATCGCTAGTCTAGACGGTGAGTGACGGTCCATGGGAGAGAAATTGAATTGTTACCAGTGTGCAAATGGAGTGCTCCTACTGCGTTGTTCACAGAGCCCCTGATGAACGCTGAGAGGAGCGCGAGTGGCACGGCCGGCGCGCTGCTGCGATCTACTGCGCGCAACGCGGTGCGCTTACTGAAGGTGTACACGGGTTGCGCAGTAGCCACCTGCGTGCTGTGGATCGTGTTCCCAATAGTGTATAGAATCCAGAATGGACATTTCGAGTTCAATTTTTGGATAGGAATGAGATATGACGATATATTTAAGTAAATACTTTCGTATACTATATATAGGGTTTTCCAATAAGAGGTGTTATTTTAGTATTCAAAGAAAATTGCAATTTTTTAAGATAAATAATCGGCTGTTTATTTAATAATAAACAGCCGATTATTTATGCCGTTAATAATTGAAGATAACATCAGCCAAATGGCTACCACGACCACGCTTACAGGACCATATCCTTTTAATGAAATTTTGCATAACTAAATCGCAAAGTGGCTGCCCTATGTCCTCGATAGCCTCACGAATTCCATCTTTGAGGTCTTGAATCGACGCTGGGCTGTTGGCGTAGACCTTATCTTTCACGTGGTACCAAAGGAAGAAGTCGCAAGTTGTTAAATCACAAGATCTCGGTGGCCAATTGTGATCACTAGAGAGCAATGGTTTCGTTGCTTGTGTGGCACGGAGCTGTCTTGTTGAAAGTAAACGTTGTCCAACTCCGGCCATAAAAAATCATTAGGTAATCATATCTCGATAGCGCAATCCATTCACCGTAAGTGTTGATCCAACCTCATTTTCGAAAAAGTAAGGTCCAATGACCCCGCCGGACCATAAACCGCACCAAACAGTCACACGTTGAGGATGGAGAGGCTTCTCAACAATAATAAAAAAAAAAAATCTTGGGTTTTCCGAGCCCCAGATGCGACAATTTTGCTTGTTGACGTAGCCTCCTAGGTGGAAATGGGCCTCATCAGTCAAGATGATTTTTCGATGGAATTCCGGATCATTTTCATGCATTTCAAGTACCCAATCAGCAAAGACACGACGTTGTTAATGATCGGCCGGCTTGAGTTCTTGTGTTAACTGAACTTTATAAGCCTTAAGACCCAAATGCAAAATAACCTTATGCAAAATACGGTGTAATGACGTTTGTGGAATGCCCAATTCCAAAGAACGACGAGGAATGGACAAACCTGCGTTTTCTTCAACACTTTGGGCTACAGCAGCAATATTCTCAGTTGTTCTTGAGCGACGTGCACGGGTTTTATTCTTCACATCACTAACTTGTCCCAATAGCTCGAATTTTTTCACCAATTTCTGTATTGCGGTCCGACAAGGTGCTTCACGACGACCAAAAAATGCTTTAGTTTTACGAACTGTGACTGCAAGATTTACACCATTTTTGTAGTGAATTTTATTAATTTCAATGCGTTGTTGAAGTGTGTATCGTTCCATTTTTAGTAATGGCGTAGTTTCTACTTGTCAAATGTCAAAAAATAAAAGCTTCAAAGTGACAGCTACCGAAATACCGGGTGATTCAAAATAACACCTCTTGTTGGAAAACCCTGTACTACTTTAATAAATGTATGTACAACATATTATCTGGCAAACACCTGTTGTGTGCAGATTTAGTGCAGTGCTGCTGTATTCGTTCTACGCAACTAATCTTGTGGCGATCGGAAATACAACGATGGATGCATTCATCGTCACTATCTTCGATCTGTGCAGGGTTCAGTTAAGAATTTTGCGGTGCGTACAGATGTTTTATCATCGTTGGCATTATTTTATCGTTATGTTACCAATAAACAAACTCCTGCCTCATACCACAGAATAAACTTTAACACGCTGGTTGAGCGAGCCGCGGCCAGTAATGATGATTGTTACGACGCTGCACTGAAGAAGCTTCTCGTCGATTGCTTGGTGCATTACGGAAAAATTATACAGTGAGTAACGAGTAACACAAAGGAGTACTTGTAAAAGATATTTCTAAATGTTCCTAGACTTAGATCCTAAATTTTACTGACATTTCTCGTACGCCGAGGCATTTTCATCGAAAGCTATATTTATAATTGAGTTATAGTTATCGTTAAAGTACGATATATAGTTTAGGATACCATAAATAGAGTAGAATAAATTCCGTATAGTAATCGATCAAGAATATCTCTGACACTCTTGTCACTAATCCGACAACAGCACTGCAAAGCACTGAAGAGGAGAAAAAATTTAAACTAACCCTATGCTCGTCTGGCCGTGGCCGTCTGGCGTGGTATAGTTGGCCATAACCTCCTTTCTTAGGAAATACCTTATGTCCAGCAGTGGCCTAGTAAAGGCTGTTAATGATGATTGATGACATAGTGCCATTAATCAAGTTTGTGAGTCAATTTACTCAAAAGACAGAGCCGTTTTATTTTAACATTTCGAAGGTATATTCAAATCTATGGAATACTTCTCAACAATCTATATATATAAAATGAATCTCTATTGTCCATAGTCACGCCATCACTTGAAAACGATTGTACCAAATTGGATTTTATTTTTTTGTTGTGTTTGTAGTTGTCACTAAAAGGTTCTTACGGGATTTTTTTTGAGGAAGTTTCGCAGAACATTAAAAAATGTAAGAAAACTTGTGACACTTGTGACTTTTGAGTTGTAGGTGTCCATGGGCGGCGGTTGTTGCTACCATCAGGTGGCCCGTCTGCTCGTTTGCTCCTTATACCATAAAAAAAATAAAAAAGACTACATAAGAGCGGTCTTGACAAAACTGTCATTTTTTTGATAGTTCGCTCGTTTGACAGATCGTGAGCTGCAAATATCGTTTGTGATGAATGTCGTAGTTGATGTTAACGTCGGAATCTATTGATAAAATAATGAATTTAATAATTTCTTAGTACACACTGTATAGTCTGTATTAGGGGCTAATCTGTGATTTAATCGGAATATTTACGAAGTTTTTGAGTTAACTTAATTGAGAAGTGTTTGTCAATTACGATAAGTTCATAATGATCACAGTAAGTTTTGGGAGACGTTAGTAAACTTGGTATAAATGGTTATGTAGGAAAAACACAGATCTTATTTTTTAATTTTCAGTTGAACTTTGGTTTTAAAGACTTAAGTCACAGAACTCGCAATATTGTATGGCATAGATATACTCGTATAAGAGCAAGTCAAAAAATATTTTAGTTTTGAATGGTCCATTTATCGAGGAAGACTATATAACATACTATATAAGACTATATAAGAGCCGAGCATCAATTAAACGTTGCCAAAACGGGGAAAATGTATTCTTTTTAAGATACTCAGACGAAGTTGCGCCGGTCGGGCGGTAATAACATAAATATGTTACGACTTCCAAATGTTGGGGCAGTAATAAAACGAGTTGTTTCTACCTACATATATATATACATGTGTAATGTACAAAGCCGGGTGTGTGTACAGGACATGCTCGACGTTGCAGAAGATCTTCAGCGTGCCGCTGTTGGTTCAGTTCGGCGTCACTGGCTGGATTCTGTGCATGGCCGCCTACAACATTGTCAGGGTGAGTGCGTACCAGTTGTGTACCTGTGAGTGCGTGCTGTGTGACACGCTGAAGTAACTCGACGCTGTTTGGTTTCAGTTGAACGTGTTGAGTGTTGAATTTGCATCTATAATACTCTTCATCACTTGTATCCTCATAGAAATCTTCCTGTACTGTTACCATGGCAATGAGGTCACTGTTGAGGTTTGTACACGTGACATCCATATAGACATAACGTACATGCAACACAGCCAAATGGTACGTTGCAGTAAGTCAGTAAAACTAAAATCAAAATCAAAATCAAAATCATTTATTATTTGCATAAAACAGGTATAAAGGTGGTAGAAGAACATCATATAATACATAGGTACGCTGTAATATAACCTCTTAAAGGTGTGCAAATATTTAGTCATAGATATTTAAAAGATTATTATTTAGACGCTCAACATTACAAACACAATTTGAAGAATATATTCATGTCATAAATTTATTCAGAGAATTAATAATGTCAAGAGTGTTATGAATGCTATTAAGTCAGATCAATATAATAAAACCAAAAAATAATAATAAAAAAAAAAACAACAATAATAATCAAATAGTCAAAATAATAAAAATAAAAAAAAAATGTCACATTGTCATGTTCAACATAAATTAAATAACAATGAACGAAATTAATTTGATTTACAATTTGTCTTGCAGAAAATCATTTACATTATAATAGCATTTTTGGCTCAGAATTTTTTTTAATGTCTGTTTAAAGATAGTCGGATTTGACTCCTTTATATTCCTAGGCAATTTATTATATATTTTTGGAGCCATGGCGAAAACACTGTTATGCATTAGAGCAGTGTTTGATTTACACAGGCATAGCCGGGATTTATCTCTTTGCAATCGGCCGTACGCATCAGAAGACAAAACAAATAAATTAGGATTTAGTTTGGCAAACATAGCTACCTCGAGTATATAAATGGATGGTAGTGTCAAAATATTATATTTTTTATAATAGGGCAGGCAGCTGTCGGTTGATTTTAGAGAGAACATTGCCCTCACACAACGTTTCTGTACCTTGAATACTTTATCTTTATGTACAGAGTTACCCCAGAAAATTATACCAAACCTAAGAACTGACGCCACCATACCATGGTATGCAGTCAGAAGTGCATGAGTATTAATTACTTGTGACAATTTATGAAGTGCATACACTGATTTACTGACCCTCTTGCATATTTGTTCTACCTGTTGTTTCCATGTTAACTTATTGTCTATTATTACACCTAGAAATTTTGTGGAATCTACTTCATTTAAAGATTGGCCGTTAGCGCATATCTGTAGGTTTTTAATACTAGGAATACGCTGACTAAAATGCATGAGCATTGTTTTTCCTATGTTAGCTCTTAAATTGTTTACATCTAGCCAGTCGAGAACAGAGTTTAAAGCGTTATTTATATCGTCATTATATGTATCCTTATTATTACATTTAATAGTAATTGTACTATCATCTGCAAATAGGGCTATTGGGTTATGGGTTACATTAGGTAGGTCATTAATGTATATTAGGAACAATAATGGTCCTAATACACTACCCTGAGGTACGCCATATTGTATTTTACGTGTTTCAGATTGATAGTATTCTTCTATTTTGGTAACACTATTAATTTTAGAAATTTGAGTATATTGAGTGCGATTTCTAATGTAAGACTCAATCAGGTCTAAGATATTGCCCCTTATGCCATATGAATTTAGCTTACTTAGTAGAGTATCATGACTTACATGATCAAATGCTTGGGTCATATCCATATATATGGAGCAAACAGGTATCTTATTGTCAACATTCTTCATTACAAATACAAGAAAATCATATATGGCCATGTTTATTGATTTATTACCTCTGAAACCCTTCTGTTCTTTCGCCAGAATACAATTCCCTTCAAGGTAATCATTTAGTTCCCCATATATATATTTCTCAAATACCTTAGAGAAAATAGGTACCAGGGCTATAGGTCTATAGTTTTCTATATTGTCTCTATTTCCTTTTTTAAATACAGGTTTTATGATCACTGCTTTCAGTTTGTCAGGGAAAGCTCCAGCTGCTATACATACATTTATAATATGACAAATATGATGACAAATATTACCTGCCACAGATTTTATGACTCTAGTACATATTCCATCATACCCTACACTGTTAGTGTTCTTTAGGTTTCTTATAATATGCAATATATTAAAGGGTGAGCAAGCTTTCAAGAACATCGATTTCTGCCTAGAGGACACATACTTGGAATAAAGCAATTTATTTTTAGGATTATTCGGGACTATTCTATCTACAAAATAATTATTAAAAGCACTACATATTGCATTAGGATCAGTTAGGGTTTGATTATTAAATTTTATACGGGCTATTGATTCATTTGGAACGTTTTGTTTTGTGTTATGTATAATTTTCCAAGCAGTTTTGGCTTTGTTATCTGCTATATTAATAGAGTAAGTGTTTTGTGCTCTCTGGGTTAATTTGATAATTTTTTTATAAATTTTTGAGTATTGTTTAAATTTATTTTTGTTAGCATCACTGGGATTTTTCCTATATTTCCATAAAAGGGTCCTTTTTTTTTTACTACATATCTTTATTCCACGCGAAACCCATTTTTGTTTTTTATGTGCATTTATAGTTATAAGTCTTGATGGGAAACAAAGATCGTAAAATAGTTTAAATAAATCATAGAAGGTATCGTAAGCTAAATTAGGGTCTTCAGTAGTGTACACCTCAGAAAAAGTCAATTTGCTTATACACTCTTTAAATTTCATCTGGTTTTCCAAACAATAGTCTCTTCGTCGAACTCTCCAACGTTTAAATAGGCAGATTTTTTTAACACGACATTGCAGTATTTGCGCTGTGTGATCTGACAATCCGTTCTCTATGATACTTGATTTGCAGTTATGGGGGAAATTATGAGCAAAATTATCTATACACGTCTGACTAATAATCCTAGTAGGTTTCCTCAGCACTAGTTCTAAGTTATAATTAAGGAGTAAACATTCGAATTCCGATGTCATACTGTTTTGCTTTAGAATATTTATGTTAAAATCACCTGCTACTATGATATTATGTTTTTTGTAAGTCTTGTTAATGTACATTAATACCTTATCTAGCCTATCAAAGAATATACTCAGGTTGCTGTTATATGGGGTTCTATATATACACACAACAATAATATTATAGGTGAGCAATTCGATCGCACAACATTCAAAACTACTTGATACAGAGAATGTTGCAATTTCAGGAATTGATTTAAAAAGATGACCTACTTTAACCAGGATACATGATCCACCTCTGCTGAGATTACTTCTACTATAATGTGCTGACAAGTTGAAATTAGGAATTACGCAGAGATCCTCATGTCCCGACATGATATTGTGCTCTGTCACACAAATTATATCTATATTAATACCTTTATCAGATAACTCTTGCATACATACAAAGAGCTCATCAGATTTACTTCTTAAGCCCGCAACATTCTGATGCATTATATTTAAATACTTATGTCCGAAAAAGCTGTGACGGTACTGTATTAATTTCAATCTGTTCTTTTTGTGGGGTTTTACAGACTGCCAAGTTATGTTTAATATCTAAAGTTAATTTGTGGAGATCCTTAAATACTATTTTCATACCATTATTACTTAAAGCGCCTGATTTTCTAAACATACTATTATTATAAATTAAGTTACGATTTGAATCAAGGACATAGGCGTATTCATATGTTAGATTGTCCAGATATAATAACTGGTTAAACATATTTACTCTACAGTTATATAAATTACAGTAAAAAGCATTTTTAAATGTAGGTAGGCTAATAATAATGTTTGTGTGATTATTAGCCTGTATTATATTTCTCATGTTGGTTATGACTTCAATGTAATCCTTTGATACTCTAAAGTCGTCCTCACCTATTATTATATTACAAAAATCGTTCATAGTAAATGTTTTTATTTTTTTGCTAATATCCATTAATAATTGTTTTATCCCCACATTAGGTATTAAGAAATGACATACATTATATTCTTCACCAAAATAACGCTTTGTTAATGATAAGATGTTGTTATTTGTCTTATTAGAGCTTATAATATACATTTTATTTTTAGGTAATAGTGTATCTTTAGACAAGTCTTGGTAGGCTTCATTTTGGTTGATGTTTGGCTTCCCTATTTCAGGTTCATCTTGTGGGTGTATTTTTGGAGACGACTGATCTTCACGGTTTGCTTTCAAGATTTGAGAAGTATAATCTAATGATTGGGTCGTTTCTGTTTGAATCCCCTTGTGCTCATGAAGCTTTCGAGGTCCCGTTTTTTTAGGTGTTAAAGCGACAGATTTCATGGGACTTCTAGAAAGGTTTTTATATAAGGTATTCTTGCGTAATAAACTCTGAATTTCGTCTTTCATTTCATTATTTTCTATAGACAGTTTGTCTATTTCATTATTAGCGCTGAGTAGTTTTGATTCGAGATTCTCGATTTGCTGTTTTAAACTAACAATTAGGTCAGTCTCCTCGTCGTCCGACATGCATGGAACGCTATGAGTAGTGCCATCTAATGACTGGTCGGGACATACACTGTCATTATTATCGGATAGTGACGAGTGCCTTCGGGGCTTCCTAAAGGTTATGTTCTCGAAGAAATTCATGTTTATTTAAAGATGGCGTTTTCTGATATATCGCTATTCAATTATAAATTTTTGTAACAAGGACAAAAAGACAATCCTGCGATAAGTCGGTCCCGCACCATCGACTTTGTTATTGACAATCAGTTGCTCTTCAAAGCTAGCCGTCAAAGGACAATATACGAAGTCGAAACATCGTACTGTTAGATGAAGGCTACGATTTTTGAAATAAGCAAATCAGTTATTATGACTCACTATTTAGGAATTTTTTCACATTCCTAACAACTTTAAGTTTACGCTCACTTCTTAATACAACTGTTTCTAATTAACACTGTTTTGCAACTGGTTTTGTTTATTGTAATTATCGCTGTTTCTACTAAACTTTTCCTGTTAATGGTTATGGATGTAATATATTAAAGTAAAGTAAGTCCATTCATCCGTAGTGCCCAGTACATTTATTGCAAAAATCCTACCTAAAATAGAAAGAAGTTTCTTTTACTTCACCTCCTTCTTTGTTCACCACCTTATTTGTTCTTGTAGTATTTGAGAAGACCCGTCGTCGATATCACATTAAAAGAAGGTGTATGCTCAGACGGGTTCTTTGAGCTGATGTTATTGATTCTGTTAATTACAGACACAACAACTGAGTAGACATTCACAGAAGTAGATCAGGGTGCCTATCAGCCTTCAGTGACACTTTCTTATTTTGCATTGACAGAGCGATCGCGTCTGTGAATCCGTTTACAGTATGCAGTGGTTGCGCGCCCCGGTCTCCTTCCAGCGCACGCTGATCGTGGTGATGGAGCGCGCCAAGCGTCCGCTGCGCCCCGTTGCCGGCCTCATCATTCCACTCACCTTGGACACCTTTGTCACGGTATATTTAATCTCTGTAAACATATACACACGCATACAACTAATTTGAATGGCGCATTAACTTTGGTTACTTTACAGATTTTAAAGTCATCTTACAGTTTCTACGCAGTACTGCGCCAAACCAAGGAGACAAATAACTAAAACACGCCAGGAGTATTGCGCTATCTGCTGCTGTAATATTCTAAACGATGTAACAATAAATCACTAAATCTACTACGTATTGACTCTTTTGTTTTATTAAACTTAAACAAACTATACTAACAACGATATGGATATCAGTGAACAAATACAGGTGCACAATACTTCCTCTATTTGGTCCTTTGGCGTTGGTGAAATAATATTGGTATCTCAACGTTCAATAGCTCAAAATTTTCCCCATTTTTGCAATATTTTTTATTGATGCTCGACTCCTATTGGTCACAGTGTAATGTTATAATTATAGCCTTCTCAGATAAATAGGCTATCTAACACAAAGAAACAATTTTCTATTAGAACCCGAACTACCTGATATTAATTGCTTCAACCAATCAAGCTCTTCAGCTGTATAATATTAGTATCAATTTACTACCATCCCATACTACAACAACCTTTACTAGTCCACTGTCTGGCATACATATGTAGGTCTCTCCTACTATACCACGCTGGCCAGACGGGTTAATACAGTATTTGTATTAAGTTTTCCTTCTCTTTGCAGTGCTGTTATCCAGAGTAGTTTGTTCCCTTAGTCGACTCTGACAACATTCATGGGATGAATAGGGGCAGTGACACTCCGTATTCTTAATCCGTCACCACACGAATAGACTTCTTAACCAAATCATAAATGCGAATGTGAGTTTGGTTGACTACGAAATCTTACAAAATCCAGGTTAGAGACATAGAGCGCGTTCTATCCCAAGAAAAATACAACTGTATGTTGGTTGAAAAATTTACACTAACGATCCACGGGCTCGAGATGTTTTAGCTAAGTAATTGTTATGTAACTACTGTTTATATATTACTATAAATATTTTATAGCTTGTCTATCAACTTTGGACACTTGTCTCGTATAATTTTCAAGTCACCGATACAAAATAATTGTTGTTTTAGCGATGATAACACGGAACAAATGCTGTTTGGATCGATCGTCGATATGCGCTTACTCACTACTTTTTATCGACTAAAAATAAATAAATAAAAAATAAAATAAATAAAATAAAATAAATAAATATCTTATTAGTATTCTCAAATTGTTGTCTTATGGTCACCATGTTGGGATCTGATGGTGATCTCTGATGTAGAACGAAGGCAGGCCTCAGAATTAAAGGAACATGTAATATTTTTATTGATTTTGCGTAAATTTAAGTAACATTATTATGAATGATATTATTATTAACGACATTCAGAAAAAGAAGGACGTTTCATGAAGCGTCCTTCTTTTTCTGAATGTAATATAGAGGTGATACATGTATCACCTCCATATTATTTTCACAGGAACACTTTTTTTATTGTTTAGGGAACAAACGAGCAGACAGATCACCTGATCAAGAGTCACACAAAGAGTGCGTTGTATAGGAGACGAACGAGCAGACAGCTCACCTGATGGTAAGTGACTGACCTGTAACTCAAGGGTCACACAAAGAGTGCGTTGTATAGGGGGCGAACGAGCAGACAGCTCACCTGATGGTAAGTGACTGACCTGTAACTCAAGGGTCACACAAAGAGTGCGTTGTATAGGGGACGAACGAGCAGACAGCTCACCTGATGGTAAGTGACTGACCTGTAACTCAAGGGTCACACAAAGAGTGCGTTGTATAGGGGGCGAACGAGCAGACAGCTCACCTGATGGTAAGTGACTGACCTGTAACTCAAGGGTCACACAAAGAGTGCGTTGTATAGGGGACGAACGAGCAGACAGCTCACCTGATGGTAAGTGACTGACCTGTAACTCAAGGGTCACACAAAGAGTGCGTTGTATAGGGGGCGAACGAGCAGACAGCTCACCTGATGGTAAGTGACTGACCTGTAACTCAAGGGTCACACAAAGAGTGCGTTGTATAGGGGACGAACGAGCAGACAGCTCACCTGATGGTAAGTGACTGACCTGTAACTCAAGGGTCACACAAAGAGTGCGTTGTATAGGGGGCGAACGAGCAGACAGCTCACCTGATGGTAAGTGACTGACCTGTAACTCAAGGGTCACACAAAGAGTGCGTTGTATAGGGGGCGAACGAGCAGACAGCTCACCTGATGGTAAGTGACTGACCTGTAACTCAAGGGTCACACAAAGAGTGCGTTGTATAGGGGGCGAACGAGCAGACAGCTCACCTGATGGTAAGTGACTGACCTGTAACTCAAGGGTCACACAAAGAGTGCGTTGTATAGGGGACGAACGAGCAGACAGCTCACCTGATGGTAAGTGACTGACCTGTAACTCAAGGGTCACACAAAGAGTGCGTTGTATAGGGGGCGAACGAGCAGACAGCTCACCTGATGGTAAGTGACTGACCTGTAACTCAAGGGTCACACAAAGAGTGCGTTGTATAGGGGGCGAACGAGCAGACAGCTCACCTGATGGTAAGTGACTGACCTGTAACTCAAGGGTCACACAAAGAGTGCGTTGTATAGGGGGCGAACGAGCAGACAGCTCACCTGATGGTAAGTGACTGACCTGTAACTCAAGGGTCACACAAAGAGTGCGTTGTATAGGGGGCGAACGAGCAGACAGCTCACCTGATGGTAAGTGACTGACCTGTAACTCAAGGGTCACACAAAGAGTGCGTTGTATAGGGGGCGAACGAGCAGACAGCTCACCTGATGGTAAGTGACTGACCTGTAACTCAAGGGTCACACAAAGAGTGCGTTGTATAGGGGACGAACGAGCAGACAGCTCACCTGATGGTAAGTGACTGACCTGTAACTCAAGGGTCACACAAAGAGTGCGTTGTATAGGGGGCGAACGAGCAGACAGCTCACCTGATGGTAAGTGACTGACCTGTAACTCAAGGGTCACACAAAGAGTGCGTTGTATAGGGGACGAACGAGCAGACAGCTCACCTGATGGTAAGTGACTGACCTGTAACTCAAGGGTCACACAAAGAGTGCGTTGTATAGGGGACGAACGAGCAGACAGCTCACCTGATGGTAAGTGACTGACCTGTAACTCAAGGGTCACACAAAGAGTGCGTTGTATAGGGGGCGAACGAGCAGACAGCTCACCTGATGGTAAGTGACTGACCTGTAACTCAAGGGTCACACAAAGAGTGCGTTGTATAGGGGATGAACGAGCAGACAGCTCACCTGATGGTAAGTGACTGACCTGTAACTCAAGGGTCACACAAAGAGTGCGTTGTATAGGGGATGAACGAGCAGACAGCTCACCTGATGGTAAGTGACTGACCTGTAACTCAAGGGTCACACAAAGAGTGCGTTGTATAGGGGACGAACGAGCAGACAGCTCACCTGATGGTAAGTGACTGACCTGTAACTCAAGGGTCACACAAAGAGTGCGTTGTATAGGGGACGAACGAGCAGACAGCTCACCTGATGGTAAGTGACTGACCTGTAACTCAAGGGTCACACAAAGAGTGCGTTGTATAGGGGGCGAACGAGCAGACAGCTCACCTGATGGTAAGTGACTGACCTGTAACTCAAGGGTCACACAAAGAGTGCGTTGTATAGGGGACGAACGAGCAGACAGCTCACCTGATGGTAAGTGACTGACCTGTAACTCAAGGGTCACACAAAGAGTGCGTTGTATAGGGGGCGAACGAGCAGACAGCTCACCTGATGGTAAGTGACTGACCTGTAACTCAAGGGTCACACAAAGAGTGCGTTGTATAGGGGGCGAACGAGCAGACAGCTCACCTGATGGTAAGTGACTGACCTGTAACTCAAGGGTCACACAAAGAGTGCGTTGTATAGGGGACGAACGAGCAGACAGCTCACCTGATGGTAAGTGACTGACCTGTAACTCAAGGGTCACACAAAGAGTGCGTTGTATAGGGGGCGAACGAGCAGACAGCTCACCTGATGGTAAGTGACTGACCTGTAACTCAAGGGTCACACAAAGAGTGCGTTGTATAGGGGACGAACGAGCAGACAGCTCACCTGATGGTAAGTGACTGACCTGTAACTCAAGGGTCACACAAAGAGTGCGTTGTATAGGGGACGAACGAGCAGACAGCTCACCTGATGGTAAGTGACTGACCTGTAACTCAAGGGTCACACAAAGAGTGCGTTGTATAGGGGGCGAACGAGCAGACAGCTCACCTGATGGTAAGTGACTGACCTGTAACTCAAGGGTCACACAAAGAGTGCGTTGTATAGGGGATGAACGAGCAGACAGCTCACCTGATGGTAAGTGACTGACCTGTAACTCAAGGGTCACACAAAGAGTGCGTTGTATAGGGGACGAACGAGCAGACAGCTCACCTGATGGTAAGTGACTGACCTGTAACTCAAGGGTCACACAAAGAGTGCGTTGTATAGGGGGCGAACGAGCAGACAGCTCACCTGATGGTAAGTGACTGACCTGTAACTCAAGGGTCACACAAAGAGTGCGTTGTATAGGGGGCGAACGAGCAGACAGCTCACCTGATGGTAAGTGACTGACCTGTAACTCAAGGGTCACACAAAGAGTGCGTTGTATAGGGGACGAACGAGCAGACAGCTCACCTGATGGTAAGTGACTGACCTGTAACTCAAGGGTCACACAAAGAGTGCGTTGTATAGGGGACGAACGAGCAGACAGCTCACCTGATGGTAAGTGACTGACCTGTAACTCAAGGGTCACACAAAGAGTGCGTTGTATAGAGGACAAACGAGCAGACAGCTCACATGACGGTAAGTTACTGACCTGTTACTCAAGAGTCACACTAAGAACGCGTTGCTGTCCTTTGACTGCCTACCCTTACTATATATCCCAGCTGAAGTGGACCTAAGAGTATGGTTTTCTAAAGCTTAGGGGGGCAAGCCCTCTACACGCCATAGTGCGACTGCCTAGGGCAACCAACGTCTGCCGAGATTCATATGGGACGGACCATTGTGTGCTTTTATTTGATACTTTACGATGAACCTCGGTAAGGTGATGTGTGATGACTCATGGAGGTAAAACACCACACGAAAAAGGTTACACAGCACGAGTAAAATAAAAAAATCAAAAGTCTTTAATATATCGGTTTCGAATTATTATTTGGTAATAAACCTGTAATTAGCTCTTGAAAGCATATCTATATATGAGTGAGTAGGTTTAGATTTTTTTTTTTTTTTTCTATTGCAATCTATCAATTCTGCAGATATTCAGCAATATGTGTAAGATTTTATTGCTAAAGGACTTGCACAGAAGCCGTCCAGTGACTGCTCCGTTTACCCTTGTGCTTCAGAGAAGGTCTTGAGGAATCTTTCTTTTTAGTCCACGAGCAACTGTTTGGGTGTTCATTAGCAGCATATTTGGATGGTTAGTGATTCGCCTCTTGTACACTTTTGTCGTCATTTTTGTCACATTTGTAATCACCAAGTGATAGTGTTCTGGGTCTAAACTCAAATATTCCTTTGTGGAAGATTTGTTGTGTTAGAGTTTTATTGTTAGTAATATTGGTTTTTTCGTTGTTTGTTGTAGAGTTAAATTGTTTATTCATGGTTGCCCGTTCCACTGAAGTTGGCGCTAGAAACTGGTTTCCCTCCAGTCATACATCCTCTCGGCACTTTTCCCACCTTAGGATTGGGGTTATTTATATAATTATGTGTTGCGAGGTTTTCTTCCTCGAGGGCCAGACAATTAAGCCAAGCCCCATAGATGTTCGAGAGTTCAAAGGCCATTTCCTGCCTTTGATTGGTCGAGTAGAGTTTATTAACCACCGCTCGATACTCGGCGTTGTTGCTCGTTTAGCACCACCCGGGGGACACGTGTAGGGCGGGTTAGGTAAGATGGTAAATCCTACGGACGCGAGCAACTTCATCACCCATCAACAGGTTTAGAATGGCGAAGTTAAGTTTGTCTTTCGGAAGAAACAGCTAATAATCTTTGAATCAATTTTCATAATAATAAGAACAATAAAACTTAGGGCACACTGAAAGTTTCTGGATTCTGATCAATAAGACTAGATATAAGACTTACGATACATTTATTGTTTTTCTAAATATATTCAATAGCAATTAATGCATATTTGTATTCGCTGAGACCACTGTACAAAGCAGTTGGACCAGTCTTCCTGACGGACCTCTTCAATGGCTTCATGGAACGCATTCAGTCATAAAACGTGTGCCACTAAGGTTGTCTTGAATTTTTGGAAACAAAAAAAAGTCGCAGGGTGCGATGTCCAGGCTGTAAGGCAGATGTATCATCAGTTCAACATTTGGACAACTAAGGAGGCCTGTGGTGAAGGAGCACATTGCTTCGAGGACGCGTTTCGCGAACTTTTCCTAAGACTCTGGGCAACGAAGTGTTGACATGCCAATCTTGCAGTCATTGTCCTTTGATCTTCAAGCAATATTGTAGTGTAACGATTTGGACGACCTAATGGCGTAGTGGTTTGTCTAACGGACTGCTATTCCAAAGGTCCACTATATATAATGTTTCCACTTTCAGCGGCGGGCGAGCGTGTTAGATTTTCTACAGACGGTTCAGCTTGATGTTCCTCCCAAACTCGATCGAAGCCAAAAAAAAAATGTAGACGTTTAAAGAAGATTTCTTGCATTGTTTGCTTCAAAATAAAAGAAATGTCAAGGTCATGTTTTTTTTTTGGAACTTTGTGAACCTCCCACTGCTTTATGTCACTGGCTGGCTGCTCTAGACGCTCCCCCCTATATGTAGGGCTCATGTATGGTGGAGGCACTCAACTGGGTGTAAGGTATTCCTCGTATCTTAATCTGACACGCTCGAGTAAATCCCATCTAGGGCTCCTCTGCTATAAAACAAGTTTATATTAGATGCGATTTAGATAATTACTTAGTATTGTCTTATAAAGACAATGTGCATTAAAAGACGACGACAAGACTATTATTGTTGAATATAGCTGTGGGAATAAATCAGTGCACAGCGAATGTGTTGGACGGCGCTGGGCGTCACGCAAGTGGGCGTGGCCACCACGACCTGTTATTAATACGTATCTTTACCGTGGCGCAACGTGTTATTACAAGCGGCACCCTGTCATTACCTCATTAGTGAAACAGTCGCGTCAGATTTATGATGAGGTATTTAGCGATACCCCACGACACTAGCTAAACGAGACTGCGATAACATGTTCGTAAGAAATTGTAAAAGAGACAATTACAACATTATTTCAATAGAACACTTGGGATTCTCTCTTTTCATAAAATATTTTACGACTTTCAATATACTGAATTTAATTATTTATTGGAATTAAACTTGAATGTTTCATGTTATACTGTAGAAATAAATGGATAGTATGTGTCTGTGCAGGTCCCTGTCATCTCAGAGTGTGTCAGTGCACTTGCGAATTCTACGTATTTGCGGCTTTTATCGGCTGTGGAAGGCGCAGAGTAAAAAGTTTAATATTTTTCACGCAACATATCGCGGCCTGACGCTCGCCCTCACCTTACTCTACTTACTGCAGGAGTGTATCTACGCGTACCAGGTGCCTCACCTGCACTGTTGTATTGGATATGTTCTGTGTTAAAGTATTAGTGTCGGCGTATAAAGGTCTTTGTGCGTTCAGGTGCAGCGGGATATAGACAAGCTGGCTCGCGTTATGTTTCTACTGCTTTGCCACATTACGTCCATTGTTAAACAAATCGTCTTTTACGGGAAGGAAGCGAAAATTGACGAGATGGTTGGTAGATTCGATGGTACGTGTTCAATTTTGGTATACAAGAACTTTCTTTAAACCCCATCCAAAAGCATACTTCTCTGTTTATCATAGATGAAATAAATTGTTAAACACCCGTCACTACTGCTATTAATAGGACTTGATGTTTGCTGTAAAATATCAGTGTTTTTACCGTTTATCGTTCACAGAACCGCTGTTTAATCATAGTTCGGAGTCCTACAAAGTACTGATGCGCGCAACAGCCGCCAGTGCCAGCAGATTCGTGGTGGTGTATTCCGGCTGCGCCGTGGTGACGTGCACGCTGTGGATCACGTTTCCCGTCATGTACCACTTGCGAGCGCAAGTCGTCGAATTCCCGTTTTGGACTAACGTCGATTACAATCAGTCACACACTATGTCAGTATAATATCTACGTATGGCTTTGTTGTTGTTTGTGACCTTATGAGTATTTTAAAAATATGTCACAATAGACAGTGATAGAGTGAATACGACTCACATCTGGTGATTCGTTTGTACAAAAGGAGACACCCATTTGTTGACACTTCTGTTATTTCATTTTTATTTGCACGTAAGGGCAAGTGAGGTAATTGAAATTTAAATAAAAATTATCAAAAGTGGTGGCCGCTATTGGTCAGTTTCTTAAATGGGATAACACATTATTTGAAGATGTGAGCGACGTACTTACAAAAAGTAGAGGTTGACACACTACAAACATGCGAAATTAAATCTCAAGTTTCTTAACATACGGTTTAAATAAAATTTTAAATTGGTTTAATCATTTGACAGCGCCTGGGGCTTGCGACCCAGGTATAGCTGGTTTAGGGAGTACTCCTTGCGACGTTAACCTCCACTGTCTGCTGTTTTACCCCCTCTACCTCAATATATTTGATACGAGCCTAGCAATGCCGCTTTGGATATTCGTTCAAGAAAAATCAATGCAAGGTCTTTAAGCAGGTTATAGAGGGATTTAGCTGGTATACCCCTTGCACCCACTTCCACGGCATACAACGCAACGACATAACCAGTTTTAGTTATTTCGTTGGTTAAGTCAAAGTACTTGTTTCTTTTTCTTGGTCTTTAGTAATATTCGTTTCCCACGCCACGGTGAGGTCTACTAGTACTGCTACATAAAGAAATATGTCTGGTCTGGACGCCGAGGCACATATATCCTTCGGTATTCTGTAATAATTGTCATACGTGTCCACTAATAACGTCCAGTACGCTGTTGTTAAAGGCGTTGAGGTAAAATTTTAACAGGGCAGGTGACCAATCTATAAAAGTGTGCGCCATTTCAAAGCTGGTGGTATACAAAATCCTCATAGAGTTAACCATTATTATTATTATATGTTATTTTTATTAATTTATTAACCATAATTTTATAAACTATTTCTAGGTTTTATGCCGTGCTGGCGTATTCCTACTACGTGACTACCCTCGTGGGAATCGCCAACACCACTATGGACGCATTTATAGCCACAGTCCTCAGCCAGTGCAAGACACAGCTCCAAATACTGCGGTACCTGAAACTGTACTCGACCAATCCATGTACTTATTGTGAAGTGTTATACTTCACAATAACCACATGGATTGGTCTCGGTCTCCCAGTCTACGTGAACCTCAATAATCATGAGATCTCTTTATAGGATAAACTTTGAGAGTCTGCCGCAGCGTGCAGCGGACCTGGTCAAATGTCAGAAAGGAAAGACGTATGAAGAAATGTTGATGAAGCAATTTGTCAATTGCTTGGACCACTACAAGATGATAACTGGGTAACTTTACATATGTGTATAAACTCACTGCTGCAGCCCTTTTTAAAATATATATAAAGCTTATTTCGTCACTAGTCTATTACAATATTATGTAGAAACCCTCCTTGGTAATATATTATAAAACAATAACTAAGCAGAGTCAGTGCCAGCTATCACTCTGAGTTGTTTAATCAACACATATCAACTAAGAATAACTGTTATTGAATAAGGAGTAATACAAAGAAATGCTAATGAGATAATCAACTAAGAATAACTGTTATTGAATAAGGAGTAATACAAAGAAATGCTAAGGATACTCCTTTTTTCCTGTGCGGAACTCCCTTCGGATACCATTCACCAATGGGGTGGCTATGTTGGATTCGAACCGACCAAAAACCGCACGCCGTCGCCAGGTACCAGTTGCTGGGGAACCAGGTAAAAAGAAAAAGAGAAAGCTACGTTCCTCGTACGTCGCGGTAGCTGGGCTCTCCTTCTGGGCCATCTATGGCTTATAGATGACCCTCTCCTGTGTGGGAATCAGAATGTTCCCTTCCTGCCCACGAAAGTCGTGCGTAGTAAGTAGCGCGTCGGGCCGTCACCCACCCTACTTCTGCTAGGGTGATTGATGGCCTTACCTGTCACCCCTAGCTTACTAAGGACGGACGTCGTTTTGCGATCGCCGGCGCCTGAGTCGAGATACTGAGAGTTCTAAACTTCCCCGGTCCCGCTCCGCCATCTCCTTCGCTAGCATAACTTGCTCGCCGAAGGAGACGGTGGGGTTCCACGCATTTTCGCTCCGTACCATGGCGGCAATGATGTTACCAAGCGAGAGAATTCTCACCCCGATGGTCGCCGCGAGGTCATGCCTCCGCTCCACCCGCGCCGGGCATTCTGCCAGCGTGTTTAGTGCCGTGTCCACGGTACCACCATCGCAGTGATGACACTCAGACCTTGGCTCTTTGTGGATCAGACACGGGTGATCTCTAAAGCATCCTTTCCCGGTGATCACCTGATCAGCCGGTATAGAATGCTGTGATGCCTCTCGAGCCAATCCTCCAAAACGGGTCTTACCGCCGCGATAACAGCGTGACGGCGTTTGGTTGCTCAAGTCGCTTCTTCTACCCCCCCACGAGGACCTCGATTCCTCGAGTCTCAGGACTCCGACCCAACTCCTACGCCTCTTTGTGCCAAAGGAGACCGAGCGACTCCCTTATTTATTTATTTTTTAAAAAGACAACTCCCGCATTAGGAATAAATCCTGTGCCGCGGGGGACTTTACAAACATACATGAAACGGACACAAAGAACACCCAGACTCAGAACAACAATTTGTGGATAACACAAATTGTCGTCCCATGTGGGGTTCGAACCCACAACACACACACTTATGATCCTGATGCCCAACACTTGCTGCGGTCGTCGCATTGCTGCGTACATGCATACTGGGACCTCATAAAAGACCATGGACCGCACAAGCCCCGAGTAGAGTCTCCTGCAGGAGTCGTCGAGTCCGCTCATGTTGCGCAGCAGCTACGCCAATGCACGAGCTGCTTCAACCAGCTTTTGAACCACAAACCTCTTAAATAATGTCCGAAGTCCTATCAGACGAGCTCCAAATACCTCAACGAGGGCTCGATGCTGATGCGAGTGCCTCCTACTATGAGGCTGGATCTCTCAGGTGGCTTCCTCCGAGGCCCATGAAAAATTAAGGCCTCGGATTTGTGCAGACCCACTTCGAGATCTAGCCGCCAGATCCGTTCTACGACTTGGGCAACCCCGGCCCTTGCCCTCAGGGTTGCCCTACGGTGCGTCTTGCCGCACGCCGTTACGAGCGTATCGTCCGCGTAGCACTTGACAGCGACACAATCCAAGAGAGCCCACGAAGCACCCAGTCGTAGCCGACGTTCCACAAGAGAGGCCCTAACACTGACCCCTTTGGAACACCGCACGACGGTCCTACCTGGGTAGACGACGGCTCTCTCCAACAAATATGCCCCGACTATGCGGCGGAGGTAGAGAGGCACTTCGTGATACACGAGCGCATCCCCGATTTTACTCCAGGGCACAGTTTTAAACTCGTTGGCGATGTCCAAGGACACCGCCATCATCACTTCGCCCCGCTTCCTCCGTAACGCCTACAATCCTCGGTGGAGCGCCCTTGACGGAATGCCAAGGATACCTTCAGGTAGATGTCTGAAAAGTCGTTATGTTGCTACTAAAACTAAAATATTTTGCCACTGCTAATTTATTCATCAGATGTTTTTTCATGCTCTATTCATTGCAATACATAACTGTAAGAATGAACTTTCGTGACTGTTAGTGAATGAAAATATTAGCCCCATTCGTAAATCACCATTATTGTTAAGCTAATAATATAATTCCACACAGGACCGTGGAGATGCTTCAAGACATCTTTGGCACAGCAATATTAATTCAATTCGGAATAGGCGGCTGGATTTTGTGCATGGCTGCATACAAAATAGTCAGTGTGAGTAAAATACTTCTCAGTGTCAAACTAAAGGGTAGACGATATACGAGTAGATGATGTTTTTTGCAGAAATTTTGACTCGCCGTAATTGTGAAATAATTGCTAACGCAAATTAGAGTTTATAATTATTTCTTGTATCGAGCAAATAGTACCTAGTTTGGTATGTTTGTACAGTTATTCCACGCTATGCAGAAAGACAGTCAGTACCCTCGTTCTAATGAAAAAAAACGTAACGGAATAAAAAGTAAATAATCGTATAGACACTTATGCGAGATGACCTTACAAAACAGGTTTTAATTTACAGTTAAGCGTGCTGAGCATAGAATTTGCCTCAATGACGCTGTTCATTAGCTGTATCCTGACAGAGCTGTTCTTGTATTGTTACTATGGAAACGAAGTCAGCGATGAGGTATGTGCAGCCCGTGTCCTGGTTCTGACATGAGATTGTTTTATGAGCATTCGTATAGGTATTGGAGTTTGTTGTTTTCAGAGCGACCACGTCTGTGAGTCTATATACAGTATGCAATGGTTGGGAACGCCGGTCTCCTTCCAGCGCTCGCTGCTCGTGGTGATGGAGCGCGCCAAGCGTCCACTGCGTCCCGCCGCAGGGCTCGTCGTGCCGCTGTCTCTCGACACTTTCGTTAAGGTCTTTTGTAAAACAAAATACATTATTTTTTGCTGACTGCTAAGCCAGAGGTCATGGGTTCGATTCCCGTGCATGACAAACGATTGTACGATCATTTAATTTTGTTGTGTTTGGGTGTAATTTATCTAAAATTTGTATCTATTTAGAAATATATAAGAATATTTATCAGCAGTCTGTTTACCATAGTACAGGCGTAGCCTAATTTGGGATCAGAGGGTCACGTGTGAGATTATTATTATTAAGTACTTTTGATTTTTTTTTAAATTATCATACCTAGGTGAAGTTTGATTACGTTTTAAAGGTATGTTAAATTGTAAACTTTGATGGACGTTGAGAAAACGTTTACACCCTTAAATGTAGTCACGTAACTTACTAAGATGTAGACAAAAGTTGTACCTATGTTTTTTTTGTTCCAGATCATTAAATCATCGTATACGTTCTATGCAGTACTGCGTCAAACTAAATGAAGTAGATGTTATTAAGGAATAATTAAATCGAATCAAATATATTGTAGCGGTGGCACTCACTTATGTTAACATAATTCTCTAAATAAAATATATTGTAGTATTTGAAGGTGACTTGAAGGTACCAACAATTTTTCTTTTCTGGCGCTGGTTATTGCGTTTTATCACCAACAAGACTTTTTACTAGATAAGCAGGACCAGGGTACACTCGCGTCGGGCACGCCGTTATCGCGGCGGTAAGACCCGTTATGGAGGATTGGCTCGAGAGGCGTCACGGGACCCTCTCATACCGACTGACGCAGGTGATCACTGGGAAAGGATGTTTCGGGGATCACCTGTGTCTGATCCGCAAGGAGCCAACGCCTGAGTGCCACCACTGCGATGGCCAGACCGTGGACACGGCTCTCCACACGCTGGCAGAGTGCCCGGCGTGGGTTGAGCAAAGGCGAGACCTCGTGGCGGCCATCGGAGTGGGAGTTCTCTCGCTCGATAGCCTGATTGCGGCTATCGTGCGGAGCGAGAGTGCGTGGAACTCTGCCGTCTCCTTCTGCGAGCAAGTTATGCTCGCGAAGGAGACGGCGGAGCGGGACCGGGAGAGGTTTAGGACTCTCCCGGCCCACCAGGCCCGGGAACGGGCCAGGTACCGCAGGCGACTCAGGCGCCGGAGGTCGCAGAACGACCTCCGTCCTCCATAAGCGCAGGCCTGGGGGTGACAGGTGAGGCCATCTGTCACCCTAGCAGAAGCAGACCGGGGTGGCGGCAAGCGCGTTGCGAAGCGCGCTCGCTTCCAGGGAGCACCGGGAACATGGGGTTCCCACACGGGGGGGGGTCGTCTACTCGTCTGTAGATGACCCGAGGTATGTCGGGGTACCAGGGACTTCCTTTCTAGGGTATACCTGGTTCCCCGGCTATTAGTACCCGAGACGGCGTGCGGTTTTAGTCGGTTCGAGTCCGACATGCCACCGACAGGTGGTATCCTAGGGGATTTCCGCAGAGAAAAAAAAAAAAAAAAAAAGGGTACACTCGCGTATGATTTTACATTTATCTCGCGGTTTCACTAATTATTTTTGAGATGTGTTTTTAGGTATCTCGGAAGCGGTTAGTCTGCGAAAGTAAGGGCGTATAATGCGTTCGAATATGTTTTATGAATGTGTACTTAAATACTGTATTACAAATGCTTAAGTTTAAATATATATTTCTTAGATCTAATTAAGGCGTTTACAGTATTGCTTCATTAGTTAAAATATTTCGGAATTTCGTTTTAATTTAGGAATGTCAAAGTATTTATTAACATCATGATTGTAACGTGACTGGACAGAGTTTCGACTTGTGCTAGGGCTCAATAACGAATAAGACTTTCAAATGAACTGCTACGGTTTTACAGTTTCTAGCCTGACAGTCGGCCGTTAATTATTTATTTTATGATAGAAAGGGCAGACTAGCAAATATGTCACCTAATGGAAAGTGACCATCGTCGCCAGACAAAACTACAAGGGACTCGGACTCGGACTATCGCCTTGAAATATACCCCGCTTGATCTTTATTAGAACATCGTTTACTGCAGTCTGCTGACATCCTGGATAGCGAAGTGCTGTTCTCCATTGCCCCATACATGACTCCAAGAAAGTGCACAGAATTGTATCAATTTTATACAACTCCAGCACCTTCAAAAGCCATGTGTGTGGAACCGAGTCATAAGCCTTCTTATAATCTATCCAACACGTCGCCAAACTCTTACGATTATGACGTACCTGTTGGCTAATGGTCATATCTATGATAAGGAGCTCTTTAGTGCCACGTGTCCCACTTCTACATCCCTAAATATGTTATTGTTATTATTGCTATGATTATTATATTTGGGGTAAATTAACATAAAGTTATCTCAATAGTTCCGAAAATAAAAAAGGAATAAACAATTTCGAGCAAGCAGGAGTATCGTTAGCTCCTTTAGTTTAACAAAAGACTTGTACACGGTTTTCGGTCCAATTTTAGTCAGCCACTGTTGAGTACTTCGGCGTACAAAACAATTCTGATTAATAGCCTTTCTTAGTGATAGGAAAAACTATCAAGGTCATGATAAGGTACATGAATTGAAGCAAGTGACAACAGTTTACTTGAAAAAGAATGTGCGTAAAAGAATCTGTTGTAAAAGAAACGGCGTGAGGGGTCTATGGAACCCCGGTCGGAACGTTCCTTTCGATTTTTGTTTGCTGCAGACGCTGCTTGCAGATGTTTGATATACAGTCTATGCCAGTATTTTACAATATAAATTATAATAATTTATATAACAAAATATCAAGATAATAGAGTTAAATTGAAATATGTTTATTATGTATAAAATAATTAATGATAAATTAATCACTGAATGATCTGGGATAATTAAGTTAGTGAAACCCGAAGTGAAAAGAGCCGTCGAGTCTGTCTGCGCATTGTAGAGGTGTGTGCGGCGATGTGTTATGTATAGTTCATACACGGCTGTAACGATAGCTAGAAGTGTCGTAAAAAGTTCTATTTGACATTTTTCAGTCTCGCTCCCATCCACTCAGACCGTTTAACGCGCGATAAGAAACTTCGGTCCAAAATATCTAAAACAGTCAGAGAAACTATTTTAGATGTTTTTCGGATTGCAAGCAAAGATTGACAGGGTTGGGTTATTTGAAGCGTTCAAGCCTCCAATTAAATCCTTTAGAACTTTGGTAGATGCAGCCGCGACGATCTGTTTTTTTTGTCTTGAATTTTGAAAATGGAATGCTGGTATGTTTGACTTGTTGTAGCCTTCTCTGTTGGGTCGATCTGATCAGTGATCATTGATGGCTATGATAGAATGAAAACCACTGCTAAAACTTAATTAGTATATTAAACATGATCAGGTCAGTCGTAATGAAACAATGAACGCTTAAAGCTACAACACAGTATGTACAAATGGGCTGAGGCGTGGCGCTCAGGGCAGCTGATCGCGGCGGCTCGCGCTCGTGCCCGCGGCCCCCGCTGCCGACATGGGGAAGTATCTGCAACACACATAAATTGTCAGCGGTCTTCGACACACACGACGTGGCTGCAGCTAGCGGCGACTACAGGCCAAGAGGCGGCGATATGTCACATCACGCGCGGCCTCGTCATGCATCGTTCGCCTCACATGCACACTCTTCTTACCAAGGGTGTTACTATAAAGGTCAAACATTCTGATATATCTATAACTAGCTAAGCTTAAGACATTGGTCTTATTACGCCCTTTAACTTTTATTTTCGCTAGGGGGTCTCGAACATTTCTTTAGCTGATTAATTTACTAAACTTTAACTGCTCATTGTTCGATCTTACAGTTGAACAGCCTTATGTGTAGTTCCTACAGAATAGACAATATATTACTTCAGAGAGTAGCAGCTGACTTTTGTCACCGTGATTGTTCTGCCACTATTTTTCATACTACCAGAGAACGATGCATCAATGTTAGCAATAATATAGATGTAATGCAAGAAATGTTCTGTTTTCTATTGACTGGACAGGAGTGATAGAATAGTCACCATAACAAAACTGACGCACGCTCGTTCTCTGTGATAAGCGCTGAAGCCATGCTGGGTGTTTGGGAGGGGGCTCTACGGTCTCTGCCGCACTCTATGATTAATTACCGAGACATTGCTCCGCATATTATCTTCTCCTTAGAAACGGTGGCTTTATCGGAAAGAGAAAAAAATAGTTTATAATCCTCATTTTTTATTGACATTATAACACACATATATTGCATACGGTTAACACTAGTTTTACAATTATTATATTATACGTATAAATGACCCCCGATTCTATTACATGGAGGACGTGAGGAGAGTAAAGTGCAGCAAGTACCTGACGGTGGGTTGTGAGGCGTGTCGTGCGTGATCGCGCCGGCGACGCGCGCGTGCCACTTGCCGCGCCGCCCCCGCGCCCCTCGCCGCACCCGCGCTGTACGACGTGTCGTCTGCGCTCGACTCCACTGCGGGGAGCGTGTCTGCACATAACCATATCGCTTATACATAAAATTCAGATAATAATAATAATCTAAATTCGATGCATATGTGACTGTAGAACTCTGATGAGTAATAAGCTGTCGCGATCGATTCGAACGTAGAATAACTTTGAAGAAGATCTATTACCCTATTTTTTTTGTTGAAAATCGCGGTGGAAAATCCCTTCGGATCTCCGGCTACTTGGGGATGTAGGAGCCAGGAGTATGTGGTGTTTCCACTAAAAACCACCCCGACGGATTCAGGCACCCTACTCCGAGAAGGACCCGGACCATGTTATTTCATGTCCCGATCTCGCCCCCATCCGCTCAGAACACGCGATAAGATAAGGAACTTCGTTCCAAAAGTAGGACCGAATGATAATTCCAAACATCTGAAATTCACCAGTCACCAACAATAGAGCGGATCTGGCGGTCGGCGGCGGCTGCCGCGGCACGCTCGCTCGCCTTCGCGCTTTAATAGTCGTAGTTCTAACTTGTAACCTAACCTAACCCAAATGATTCACCATTAGTAAAGAGTATCTGGCGTCAATCGCCATTGTTCTTTCGTAACCCAAAGAATTTAATAACAGTAAATGATTCGCGACTCACGTATAAGGAGAAGAAAGGGTACCTAAACACAAAAAAAAAAAACACAGTAACAGTAACAAAATAGACGTTTTCAAATTACATTAAACGTTACTTTTAGACTTTGAATATATATGTGTAACTGAATATCATACTAACTGAATTAGAATTAGATTCGTAATTTTAGCAATTAATTCGAAGTATTGAAAATCGAGTCATCTAAGGGAAAAAACTACGCAGAACAACAACACTGCAGAGAGAAGGAAAACTTGACACAAACCCTATACCAACCCGTCTGGCCAGCGTGGTATAGTAGGCTAAAACCTCCTTTCTAAGGAGAGCCTTATGTCCAGCAGTGGACTATTAAAGGCTGTTGATGATGATGATGATTGAAAATCGGAATATTTTTTTCGGACCTCCCCACCCATCAAGCATTTGATTCTTCGAACGTATAAAAATCGGCAAACAAACAAATCGCATTTACAAGTTTCGGTAAAATAAATTTAGTGAAATTTAATAATAAACATTATAATTCTAAGGTGTTATGAAATTAGGATATTTGAAATTCGGAATAAGATATTTCGGAGTAATTTGGGTGTTCCCATACCAGAGAGATGTGCGGCAGGCAGGCGGTAAAGTTCGGCGGCGCACGCTGCGCACGGGGAACCGCTCGACTCCGAGTCGCTGTCCCGCCCGCGCCCGTACTCTGTCCGACACACAGTGGACGAGTGGTGTAATACAACAGAGGAGAGTGTAGCTCATTTACTTATTGTAGCTATCCGTTACGTGTTTGTGTGTGTAGTGTATGCACTGACCGTTACTGTGCGCGAGCAGGTTGGGTCGCGGCGGCGGCGCGGCGAGGTCGAGCGCCTCGGCGCGCCCGAACGTGCGCAGGTGCAGCGCGCACCCCGCGCCCCGCGCCTCCGCCCCCGACATGCTGAACGTCGCGTACGGACTGATCTCGTGCAGCTCCCCCGTCACTGAGGTTAACGATGTTGTATTAGTAACGAGACTGATATTCATTCGTTCATTCATTCGAGACATGTCTAATATTTGAGGAGCCCTGTATGGTAAAATCATGTTACTGAGTTATTATTTTAAAATCAGATTTCGTAATTGTGACACGAAAGTTTAGTCTATTCTCGATTACCGTCAGGTGGAGTCAGTGCCTTCCCGTTCCTCTTGCTCGGTTCCGTAGTGTACAGTTGCGGGTGAGGTGGGCCCACTGCGGTCGGCTGCAGAGAGCACTCGTCCTGCACGCACCAAGCCGCGCGCCGCCGCGCCACCACCACGCCTGTCGTAAACCAAAACAACAGTATTAATGTCTAGTGCGTTATAACGAGAGAATATAATTATTCATATTTACAGTACGGCAAAGTTACAATTTTGATGAGATCGGTGTTCAATAAACTAACTGATAAAATCCAAACTATAAGACAAACAAGGTACTGTATTTAAAAAGAGGATCAAAACAATATCCTAGACCGAGTGGCAAGTTGTCGCTTCATCCACTCGATTTAGTTTGCCCTACAGCACCGGTGCGAATTGTGTAGTTCGCGATTAAATTCCAGTCAACTCTTTGTGCTTACGAATAAATCACAGTCTTCAACTTTATTGTAACGACTGACGCCCATGGCTACAAAAATAATTCAAATCAAATAATTAACCTATCGCAGTCAACTGGAAATGAGCCTCTCTCATTGATTTAATATAAGCTCTTTACTAATATAAGCCTTATTTTTCTTCTGCGAAATACAATTATTAGCTTAGCTGACATATGCCATTACAAATGCGGGATGTATCTGTCTGTCACTCCTTGAAGCCTAAATCCATTTTAAACAATTTTGTTCTAGAGATAAACATAATAAAAATCGAGGGTGATAAAATAGGAGATCACAATTTGTTTGGGAGACTAATTATATTATTATTGCCGTAGATAAAAAATAGAGGCATATTCATTTACTTAGTAAGTAGGATGTAGATGTATATTAAAGGAGTGCTCAGCGTGATGGTAGTTCATCCACCACTTTCTCACATTCGAAAATAAACAGACACGGAAGTAGACAAACAAGAGATAGGGCTAGCTCGATATTTTCCATCTGCGTGCAGGTTATGCTTGCGAAGGAGATGGCGGAGCGGGACCGGGAGAGGTTCAGAACTTTCCCGGCTCGCCAGAAAGAGAACGGGCAGACAACTCAGGAAGCTTATGGAGTCCAGCCTCCATAAGCCTTCTGAGCCATGGCAGAACGACAAGCTCAAGTTATTATAGATAAATAAAACCTCATAGGCTCATGCACAAGAGCATTAATACCCGAAAACATGAAATTATTTATTCCTAAATTTAATATTTTGAGTTTGGACTACTTATGTAAATGACCTGTCACAGAATCAACCATTATTATCAAAGTGGGGCTTTCTATAAATTTAAAGTCAATAACAGTCCGATATTTATTGACAACATGAACATGTGTTAGGAATGTAACATGTACCAGTGAGTATAGCGAGAAGCAGCGCTAGGCCGCCGCCGAAGAGCGCCGGCGCAAGTCCCGTGCGCCAGAGGGCGCCGGCCGCAGCCTCCCCTGGCTTTCCCTTGTCGTCTGAGGCCACGCTATGTGCTTCAGCAGGCACCTCTACAGCTTCACCCAAACGCTCTGCATAAAAACGGGAACATTTTACAATATGACGGTTCTTAGGGTCAATTTTGTCATAATTTCACAAACCGATATCAATGTACAAAAATGTGTTTGTAATTTGCAACACGCTTTAATAAAATATCATACGACTTGATGAAGATGAAGGCTCTACAAAACACAATCTGTATGATTTTGTTTTTTTTAGGGACCGTCTCCACGAGCTTGAAAGTCCGCTCGTCTATCGTCCGGTATTCTCCAAGAAAGAGCTGTTTTTTTGCCATCATATCGTCGCGCCTCGTAACGGAATCGGCACATTTCCGCGACGATGTGTTGTGCAATAGTTAAGTGCCAGACGAGATTGATATTAAACTGCAAATACTCTGGCAACTGCAAATCGTAAAGTGCTGGTCTTTTTCTCACTTCAAGTACCTATAAGCTTTTCAATGTCAAACATTATTTAAAAAACTTGTCAATACGTGACGTCCTTTCTTGGATGACCCGTAACACAGAACTAAAGCGGACACGCCGCCAGTAGCTAGCTATGAAGTATCGCGCTCATCCACAGCATGGCCGCGATAACATCGCTGTGTGGAGACACGTTCTAAGAGAGTGTATAGAAATACGTAGCGACTGATTGAGACGGCCCCTTATATTTCAGTAAGTATAGTTGTAAACGTACCTCCGTTAATAGTGTGTGTAGCAGCTTTATATAGCGCAACAGTGTCGCCGGCTGGTGAGTGCGCCACCACGCGTATTTCGTACCACGAGCCCGGCCGCAGGTTGTTTGCCTGTGTACAAGCATCCTATTACAACAAATGTACCTCACTCATGAATGAGACAAACAAGCCCGTTAACACTTAAGTCTCATTCACAGCAATTCCACTCATTATTGTTTTCAGTTGGAAATAAATTCTAGTAATGTTTTAATAGAGATTCGTAACTGATTAACATAGTGGGAAGAGGCAGACAAAAATAATTTAGAAAACAAAATTATGTGAAAATAATTAGGCTTTTTCCCACAGAATTATATTTCACTTCGTGATTATTGTATTACACTAAATTCATGTTAAATAATTGTTCGTTTTTTCTGAACAAATGTAAAAGATAGGATAATTGGTGTTTGGCGCAAGGAGGCGCGGGAGTTGGGTCGGTGCCCCGAGATTCGAGAAATCGATGACCGGAAAGCCCAACTCCGCCAGGTCATCATAGGGGAGTGGAGGGAACGACTCGGGCAACCGAGCGCCGGGCACGCCGTCATTGCGGCGGTAAGACCCGTTATGGAGGATTGGCTCGAGAGGTGTCACGGGACCCTCATACCGACTGACGCAGGTGATCACTGGGAAAGGATGTTTCGGGATCACCTGTGTCTGATCCGCAAGGAGCCAACGCCTGAGTGCCACCACTGCGATGGCCAGACCGTGGACACGGCTCTCCACACACTGGCAGAGTGCCCGGCGTGGGTTGAGCAGAGGCGAGACCTCGTGGCGGCCATCGGAGTGGGAGTTCTCTCGCTCGATAGTCTGATTGCGGCTGTCGTGTGGAGCGAGAGTGCGTGGAACTCTGCCGTCTCCTTTCGCGAGCAAGTTATGCTCGCGAAGGAGACGGCGGAGCGGGACCGGGAGAGGTTTAGGACGCAGGCGAGGCGAGGCGCAGGCCTGGGGGTGACAGGTGAGGCCATCTGTCACCCTAGCAGAAGCAGGCCGGGGTGGCGACGAGCGCGTTGCGAAGCGCGCTCGCTTCCAGGGAGCACAGGAAACGTGGGGTTCCCACACGGGGGGTTCGTCTACTCGTCTGTAGATGACGCGAGGTATGTCGAGGGCACCAGGGACTTCCTTTCTAGGGTATACCTGGTTCCCCGGCTATTAGTACCCGAGACGGCGTGCGGTTTTAGTTGGTTCGAGTCCGACATGCCACCGACAGGTGGTATCCGAGGGGATTTCCGCACGGAAAAACAAAAGGATAATTGGTGTCAAAATCTTTTTTGGTCTCACTGCGTACGCCTCGGCCCCGACTATTTAATCTAGATACTTTGGTTTGATTATGTGGCGCGCTTCTGATATGTGTAAAATGTAGTCTATCACCTTATGGACCCTAGCGATGTTCGGTCCTCCGCACATTACTGCGTTATTAGTGCGTTCCAGTTCACAGTTACTGCTCAAGTTTACGGGTCGACTAACGTTTTTTTTACGACATAAAACAGAATAGAAACCAGAAATGTGAAGTTCATAAGCATCTGAAAATCATACCATCGCACAATTTGCTGAAGTTAAATGACTCAGTTACTTAGCCACAAAATCAAAATAACATATTACCTCAGCTGTTTCACCGTTGGTTTCGAGCGCAAGCCAGTTGGCACTAGCGGCGGCGCGCAGGGCCACGCTCCACGACGTCACCGGACAGCGACCCCCCCACGCCAGCAGGTTCAGCCGTAACACTGTGCTGTTGGCCCACACCAGAGCCTTTCCTGGCGGCGCCCGAGCCTCTACGCACACATATCATTTCTTACACGAATTATAAGGTATTGATATTCATTTTACATAAAAAATAATAAATTATTAAGTCTTGAAACGGATTGCATAATACGGAAACCATAGTTCATTACAACAGTATGCAATATACTGACTGTCGCCGCGCGTGCGCGTGAGGAGAGGCCTGGAGTGTGGTGACACGCCCACGGCGTTGTGCGCGCGTAGCGTGACACGGTACACGGCGCCGCACGCCAGCCCCGAGAGCACGTGCGCAGTGTCAGCCGGCGGCACCTGCCGCGAGCGCTCACCCGAGGAGCTGTCGCCACGGGACCACTGCAGCGTGTAGCCCAGTAGGGCGGCGCCGCCATCACTGGGCACGTCCCACGCCAAGAGCAGCGCCGTGACGTCAGCGCGTACCAGGCGCAGTACCGGCGCAGCCGGAGGCAAGCGCACCACGAGCGACACTGACAACGCGTCGGACCCACCGCCGTTGCGCACCACGCATGTATAGTTGCCGCCCGACATCAACTCCACCTCTAACAGTGATCCGGACGTTAATGCTCGGAACAACAAAAATCAGAATTAGCTAATGTACTAGGCGCGTAGGTACGAGTACATAAATGGCAACTCTTACTGTGTATTATCAAGTCACCAGTGTCGGTGATGGTATGCGCGGTTGGCAGCGGAGACCAGCGCCACCGCAACGGTGGAGCACCCACGGCCGCACAGCGGAAACGCACGCGCGAACCCCAAGCCGCGTACACTACGCGGCTGAATGACGAGATTCGAGCCGACGCTGGCAATACAAAATTCAAATGATAAAATTATTTGCTAGGTAAATGTGGAAATGTGCTACGTAAAAACGGAGTGGAAATAATCGTCGTTACGAACCAAGTGGCGCGGGTGCGGCTGTGACCGGACGTGAAGGTGGCCCAGCCCCAGCGGCGGTAGCCGCACGAACCCAGAACTCGTAGACAGTGCGCTCGCGCAGGCCGCGCACCTCTCGCCACACCTCTCCGCCGAGTCCCTCTCCCAGAGGCCTGTCTGCTTCAGCAACATCCACGCGTTGCGCCCACTCGCCACCCACTCTTAAGATACAAATTGTTTATTTTAATCATGGCTATCGTGAAATCGGGAAAATCCAATATTCTTCTGCTGAAGGTTGAGAACGTACTTCCCTAGCTCCCGAGTGTAAAGGGTGTAGTGCGTGAGCCGCGCAGTGTTGGCCGGTGCGAGCCACGTCACACGCACCGCGTCCGGCGCGCAGCCTAGTGCCCGGATCTGCATCACCGCTTCAGGCACTGTAGCGATATCATTTATAAGTAACATACTTGATCGTTACCAATACTAAAAATGCAAAGTTAGTCTGTTGTTATTCGGCCCTGAACTATAAAAATTTTATACATTTTTTTTATTTTCGGATAAGGATCCCAAACAAGGAAAATTTTATTTTTTTAATTCGACATGAAATTAAATATTATTCTCTAGGGACAGAAAACTAATTTTTACGTGAGCGAATTCGGGAGCAAAATATAGTCATAAAATACTTTGATCAATTAATTAAATACACTCTTCTCAATCTACTTTACCCCTTACTTTTTACAACTTCACGATGTTTCGGGTACTGACCATCCTCAGTTGTCTCACAGTAGACCGGAGTTGAGGGCGGTCCCAGTCCAGCGTCAGCGCGGGCTCGTACCCACACAGAATAGTTAGAGGCGGCCTGTAACCCTTGAAGCGTAGCTTCACCGGATACGCCTGCACGCGCGGTCTGGGCCTCTCCTGCGATGCTGCCTCTCCGAGCTATACATATATATAGTTCCCAAAGATATAAAATAAAAATATAAAATAATTAAACTGTCAAAGACACAATGAACATCTTACTTGAAGTGAAACGTATTGGCGCGTAATGTAAATCGTATCCCCTTAGTGCGTGCGCATGCTGGGCCGACAGCGGCGTCCAACGCACGCGCAGTGTACGCGGTGACAGCGGTTCGCAGGTGACGGAGCGTGGCGCTAGTTCGGGCACCCCGTCTGCGGTAGTGGCGTACACGGCGGGCGAGTGCGGCCCGGCGCCTGCGCGGTTAAACGCACGCACTGTGAGTGCGTAACGTGCGAAAGAACGCAGTCCCGACAGCGTGAGTTCAACACTAGACCAGCCCGCAGACGCGGCGTTGCCGGCGTGACGTGGTGAAGAGTCGCTGTCCTCTGTATCGTCTTCATCGAACCGACTCAGCTCTCGCCAGGATACCACGTACCCTAGTAGTTCTCCATTCCAGTTATCTTGAGGAGGCGCCTGATATGGATGAAGATTGCGAATACATAACCCTATCTGCTTAGCCATTAAATTGTCCTCATTTCAATGTTACGAGTAGTCAGTATTGTTTCCTACATCATAGTAAGTAGTGCGAAAGAAGACAGTCCAAATTCTAAATGAGTACACCGTTTGTATAAACGACAGTTTGCGAGTCTGACTCTTTGACATAGTTTTGGTGTCCCCATCAGTTAAGTTAGTGAATGACGTAAGATACTTACTGACCACGACACGTGCAGCTCGCCCACGTTTGCTGCTCTGACACGAACGTTCTGCGGTGAGGCCGACGGCGCTAATAAATAATGGAACAGTGTAACCGTTGTGTCTACACAGCTAGCATGAGCAGTTTTACAAATGCCAAAATATATTTATTTGTTACTCATATATTACTCATAAGATTGATTGTCTGTTTAGGTTAATTCTATTATGAAATAGGTCTGACTCACCTTCCTCTAATGTGGAGAAAAGTAGTGGCTCGGAATGCAGTGACTGTCCCACATGGTTAGAAGCGGTGAGGCGGAGAGAATAGGCTGAGGCCGGTCGCAGTCCGTCCAGGCGCGCGCTCAGCGTGTGCAAACCGTCTGCATCTATTCTATATAACAACAATCAATGACTAGCGATCACGACGCGATCTATCAATATCGAGTTCATTTAAAACAATGTACTAAAGCGCTTATTCCGATCGGACCAAATCTGAACGCCCGGTTAATATTGTTATCAAAAGACGGTTTATTACCTGTCCTCACCGGTAGTTTCCAAGGTGAGGTTGACAATATTTTGGCGCGCCTCAGCACCGGGTAGAGCGTGGAGAGCCGTGTATAGCGCCGTATAGGTGTTCATGGGGGGCGCCGCAGAAGAAGCCGAGCTCCACGACACTCGCACCCAACGGGAACCCACGCCGCCCAGCAGCAAACGTCGAGGAGCTTCCGGCGGTTCTAGGCAGTCAAAACAGTCATGGCTTTTTGTACTACCTCCACCACGGTTAAATGTATTCTTTATACGGATATTGGTGAAAAATATAAACTTATGTTTTACGAAGATAAATTGGTGAATAACTCATGAAAATAAATGTACTCGTATAGTGAGCTCACCGTCGACATGTAGGTACATGAGCTGCTCGCTGCGGCCGTGTCGGTTGTGCGCGTGGCAGCGGTATTCGCCGCCGTCCGCGCGCTCCGCGGCGCGCAGCTGCAGCGTGGAGCGCAGCCCGCCGCCCGTGCGAGCTTCCGTCACCGCCCATCTACGGTGCAGCGCTCTTAAGTACAATTAAGTGCATCGGAAAACTTTTTGGGCTTTGCGAGACTTAAATTTTTATATGTTATGTATTTTATGAAACATCTTTCAAAGTGAATTTAAATGACCTGTAGGATGTAAGGTCGAGACGCACACCGCGGTGGCTCCAGTGCACGTCCAGCGGCGCATCACCCAGCGCGAGACACACGAGAGAGGCGCTGCGCCCGCGCACGCACGACACGTTGCCGCCGCTGCCCTCGAAGTGTGCCGGCTCTAAGGCAAACATATAACTATAAAGCGAGATTTTCATTGAAAAGATATATCTATACAGCGTTTAGTTTGGTTTTCGTCGACTATTCATTTACCGTGTACAGTGACGTTGACGGGCTTGACGAGCGGCGGCCCGACGCCGTTGTCCGCGATGCACCGGTACAGGCCCTGGTGCGAACGAGCGGCGGACTCGGCCGCCAGCGAGCCGTTGCGGGTGCGCGCCGCGCTCTGCCCCACGCCCCACTCAGCGCCGCGCACTTGCTCCCACTGCTCACCACCACCTTCTGCCTCACCACCGTCACCTTGCACAGAGTCACATAACAACTTTACTGTCGATATTAGACGTTTGAATTAGATTATTTTAGTTCTGAAAGTGAATACACGTTTAGCATAAATATTAATACTGACCTCACCAGTTGATGCGGAGTGCAAAAAATTTTTTGATTTGAAGGCGAGGTTGCAGCGATTTTGCACTTTTTGGAAGAGAAATAAATACCCTAATATGCATTTATTGTGCATGAAAATAAATATTTAACATCACACAATCCATCAACATAATTTACTCTAGCGGGTTGGCCCCCACGGCCCCCACGGCTCTGAACACAGGCCATTACTCTTTTCATGAAATTTTCTATTCATCATCATCTAAATTTTACACAGAGATGTAGCTGTATCACTGCGATGAGGCATTGGATCTCTGATTTGAGCTCAGGCATTGTTTCTGGTTTATTCGCATAAACCCGGGCGTTAAATCGCACGATTTTATGGCCAGTTGACATCAGAATTTCGTGAGATAGTGTGTTTTAGAAATCGTTGCTGCAATAAGTCGATTGTTTCATGCGCGGTGTAGCAGGTAGCGCCGTGCTGCTGAAACCACATGTTGTCAAGATCCATGCCATCCAGTTGAGGCCACAAGAACTCCGTTATCATATTCCTGTAACGAATGCCGTTCACAGTCACTGCAATTTCGGCCTCATCTTTAAAAGAGTAGGGCCCAATCACGCTGCCTGACCAAAATCCGCACCAGACAGTTGCTCGTTATGGGTGCATTTATTTCTCATGGATTGCATGAGGATTTTCTGAGCTCCAAATTTGACAATTTTGTGTATTTAGGTAGCCATTCAAATAGAAGTCGGAGAAGATGACTTTTTTCGAAAAATAGGCATCGACTTGACTTTGCCCCATTGCCCATTGAACGAATTGGCGGCGCTGACCATGCGCGTCTGCTGGTTTGAGCTCCTGAGTTAGATGAAGCTTGTACGCATGGACATGGAGGCCTTGTGTCAAAATTCGTTGCGTAATGCTTCATGAAATTTGAAGTTGTTGAGAACGTTGCCGAATTGATGTTTTCGGGTTTTCGACACTCGTTTACAGCAGCAATGTTTTCAAGAGACGCAAAGAATTCTTAATATCTAATAGTTTTCACAATTATAACTCGTTGTTCTTTCGAAAAGCGCTCCATTTTTAATCATCGGAATAAACATAGGTGACAGCTGCCAAATTGTTTACCTTCAAGAGAGCCTCGTCTATGTTGTCTATCAAAGCTTGATAATAGAGCAGCTAGCCATCGTACGTAAGCACATTGAAGGTTCGGAGTAATGAGATTGATAAATATTGAAAATAATAGAGGAGAGAGATTGCCACCTTAAGGGACGCCACAGTCTACATAGTTCGCACCTACCCGAAGAGGATTCATTGACGAGGACAGACTGTTGGCGCCCCTGAAGATAAGACGAGAACTGGTCCAGTGTACCAGGCGTAATCATGAGATAGGACAGGATGGACAGAAGGATATCATGACTGACGGAGTTGAATGCGTTTGAAAATTCAACCAAAGACTACACTGTTACTTTAGATTTCTTAACCTCTGCTCGGATGTCAGCAGTCACTTTTAGCAGAGCAGAAGTTGTGCTATTCCCGGGCCTGAACCCTGATTGGAAAGGGCTTAGTATGTTGTTTCGATAAATATGTTGGGGTAGTTGTTGGTTCACACAGGCCTCGAGGACTTTAGTTACGAAGGGAGAATGCAGATAGGGCTAAAATATCGAAATATGATTTGGGTTAATTCATTCGGTCATCATATTGTTGTTCATTCGTTTATTTTTTTACATGCATGTAACATGTAATACATGTTCTTAATGGGGTTAGATACATATCAAGAAAGTAAAAAATTACCGATGCGCCTGTACCAAGTGATAGTTGGTGCAGGATACCCTTTCGCAGCGCACTCCAACAGCAGCGGAGCGCCGAGCAGCACCGCTGCGTCGAGAGGTTCCGTCATCCACGATGGAGCCACTGGCGCATGCAAGTTACATAATGTTTAAGGTGAAGGTGAAAAAGTACCAACAAAAGATGTCACTCGATATAATTACAGCTACCCTGCGTTGTAATATCGTACCCTTCACACTGAGGTTGGCAGTGTAGTTGACGGTGGCGGCGTGGTTGGACACGCGGCACGTGTACGCGCCGCTGTGCTGCGCCGACAGGTCCGAGAACATTAGCAGTGAGAACTCGTTCAGGCTCTTTTCTTCTATCTGTGTCGACATCATTTTACGTTACTTAAAAATTCAAATGACTGATGAGTGAAATTTTAGCCAATTGTTTTTACATTTTGTTATTAAAGTAAACGACTCGCAATCTAATCATAGGTTACCCCAAAAATAGTAAATGATGGCCAAAAATTTTAAAAGCTGTTTTACAAGTCTTCATTATTATTATTACAAGCTTGTATTTAACTTACTTACTTGTATGTATGTATGTAAATATAATTGTTCTCGTTGAATCTATTTGGAAATTGAATGAAACTAGTATCTTCAACCAATTACTGAAATTTTGTGTACACGTTTAGTTTGAATGACAATGCATGGTTAGCTGTATAACATCGTTCTAAGTTCAAAATGACCGAACACTCACGATGGCGGACTAGTTATTTTTAATGCACTCCTACAATATGTATATCAAATAAAAGGGCTTGCTGAGAATAACTCGAAAAAGAAAGTGACATCACTCTAAATCAAATATGACGGATTTTTAAAGAAGTCAGATAAAATCATTAGAAGGCAAACGACCTTGCAACATTGCTGCGACCTTGATGCGTTGAATGAGATAAGCAGACTGAGAAACCTGGCCATCGATAACTAAAAAGTAAAAAATAAATTAAAAGTAAAACACAATTCATATAATACAAAAGTTTGAAGCGAGAATTACCTGTAAACGAGTAAATTGAATACCATGATCTGACTGATTTTAATTTTTAAAAGTTTCAAACTTGGTACCTACGAGTACTTAAATCTCGCGACAAGCTCTTCTTATATCATGTAAGTTGTGTAATGACCTTATAAGTTGTTAGGCAAAGTTTTAAAGGCAAAGTTTATTTTATTCTAAGTAAAAGCTTGCTTTAAAAAGGTTTTTTCTTTTATTTATTTTAGATTTAAACATCCTGCTATTTTATGGTTTAAATTGGAGCTTTTAGAACGCAACTTTTTTCGCGCAAATTTTTGGCTACACTTTTTTAATTAAAAAGAAATTCTGTTTAAAAGTTACATTCCGATTTTTGAGGCTATAGTCGTACGATAAGAACGATGTCGGTGCTACTTTCAGAGACAACTTGCAAAAGAAATAACCACGAATGTATACCTTTCAACCTAACTTGTCCATAATGTCCATGTCGGGGTGGGTGCATAAGAGATTGCGGAAGTAACGACATTGTGTTATTCAAGCAACTGTCTATATGGTTAAAATATAATACATATAATTTCAATAATCCTGTTGTACATTAGTTTGAATGCAATGCATTAGGATTGGTAAACTTTGATAACATTTATGTTGTTGAATTACTGTTGTCACTCATCATTGCACAGGATTCATGACTACAGTACACAGCGGATTTCATTATCTTTATTGAACACCTGAAGATTAGCCGGTAGTGGTGCTTCATCCTTCAGCCAGGAGAAGTACATAGGCTTGTCTCCGGAAGACACTCCGCATAGAACTTGAACGGAACTGCCCTCCGTCAGCTCCGACGAGAACATAAAGGGAGATATTTTTGGTGGATCTGAGAAAGATATTGTCAATAATAAGTGAACTTTTCCTATTACGGTTCACGTAGTATTATATGAATTATTGTGTACAATATTTATTTTGCGCTCATACTTCGCACTTGTATGTCGATGTCCCGCCTGGCCGCGGGGCCCTGAGGCGCGGCCACCGCGCACGCGTAGTGTCCAGCGTCAGCGGGCAGCGCGGGCGCGAGGCGCAGCTCGGAGCCGCGCGCGCTCACGCGCCCCGCCCCGCCCACCGCCACGCTCGCCCCGCGCCGCCACCACGATATCGAGCTGCGCACACACAAGGCACGTTGCTAAACCATTCTCAAAATACATCAGCCGTTATGTTCATTCAAAAGCTACTAACGGTTCAGCTACTAACAAATTATGCGATCAACTGCAAGTGTTCTCCTAATGACCTTGTATGTGCAATAAATTATAGCAGTAGTGTATTAGAGGAATCATCCTATCAAAATGCACCTCTATGGACCTGATCGGATATCCAGCGTAGGGGCAGTAAATGGTGGCATTGGCACCGGCAACCACCCGCACCGGGCCCAGCGCCCGGATCGATGGCGGGCCTGTGAAATACAAATACACAACATAACGGATTCGTTAAAGGAAGGGAGGGGTAGACTTCTTTCTATAAAAAACTATGACGTACCGTATATGTTAAGTCGCGCGGAGTGCTGCGCGTGACCGCGCTCGTTGTGTGCGCGACAGGTGTAGCGGCCGCCGTCCCCTGGGGTCACCGCGCTCATGTTAAGGACCGACACCACATCACCGGTTAACGATGTCTCCGAACTTATAAAGTACCTGTCGACATTGGTACTCATTACATTTATTACATTTTCACGCCATGTTTACAATGTTTGTTTTGTGACAAACTCTTAACAAATGGTTCTATTATGTAAGGTAATACAATGATCGTTTACAAAGCGGTGAGCTGTGGTTACTTTGTCCTCAATTACTATTCGTAAGGTCTCATCGCATGCATGTCCTTGCCTGTGTTGCGATCGAAACTGATCTAGTGGTTGATCATCGAGTAGCCAGGAAAAACGCGGTGGTGGAGAAGCGGACGCGGCGCAGCGCAGCGACACGCTGCCGCCAGGACGCAGCGCCTGCTCGATGAACGTGTAGTGCAGCTCCGGTGCTGAGTCTAACAAATTTACATTGCCGTCAAATCTAACTGTTGGCTAAAAATATTTGATGTATAATATTTCCTATTGCCACTTCATTGCGGACAATATTAGCAGTACGTTTCAGGCCTTATAGCCATTAATTATTGTGTGACAATATTCAAGGTCGTCTGAGTTATTTTGATATGATGACCGTGTTTAATTAAGTATCAGTTACATCGATTTAGCTAGAAAAATAATAAAAACTCAAATTCTATTCCTATAATTTATAAATCAAGTATAAAATTGTAAAAATCAGTACAGTCACATGATACTTTTTCCATTTTCTCTGAAAGTGTATTTCATTTTTAAGTACTGACCGTTAGCGCGCTCATTTGGAACCGGCAACCGAGATAACGAGGGGGTTCAGGTTACCTTAAGTTAAAAGGAGAAGGTCGAAAGTTAAATAAAATATAATAATTAATGACGTCGGCCGTGCCTCGGTTCGTTCAAGTCAGATAAAGTTACTGAACACCGATAGGCTGATGAATTATTAGAGGAATATAAGACAAGGGTGGTGGCACACAAACCTTCGACCCAGGTCGTGTGGTAAATATGATACAAATATGGGGGAAATAGAAATACGGATCGTTGAGTGAAAGTCGGTCATTTTACGTAATGGACACTGAGCATCCTTTTTGCTGAAACACTTTACTCATTCGTATGCGTGCGTATAGAATATAGAAGAATATAGAACCTGTGATAATACGACGCTCGTGGCTTTACTGGGCGCTCCCAGAGAGGCGACGGCGGTGTAAATTAAATAAAGCCATTCATCTAATGCCTAGATATACATAAATGTCCTATCCTCTAAACTATGTCAGGTTAATTAAAATATATTAAATTACAAAACAAAATTAACAGACAATAACATTCAGTAAATTTCAATAATAATAACAACAAACAAAAATAAATCAAAGTCAAATTCCTATTATACTACCGAACTAATACATTGATTCATACGTAAATCGAACCTCAGAGTGTCAGAGATAATATGTAATTTATACAACATGTACAAGAAATTGATTTGTGGAATAGGGGGCAAAGCGGCAGATGGACCACCCGATGGTAAGTGAGTTCCGCCGCCCGTGGATGCAACTCAACAGACGCGAGTGCACCGCCTTGTGAGTGCTTCCCTCAGAATTAGGGGAAGATTTTGGTGTACAAATTGGGTGTTACAGGACTATATCTTATAGACCTCAATATGATTCACTCTTAGCGGCCCTTACAAATTTTTACATTTGGGAATAAGTTGTCGTACGTCAATGTTGATGACGTTAGCATTTTAAAATGTGACTGTAAACCAATTCCCGCCAGTCGAGTGTTCTGAAAGCGCGTGTCCCTGAGATCGAACCAGATCAGATGGAATTGTTCAAAACTAAGGTCAGTAAAATGATAAATAGTAATTTATATTAGGTGAAAAGTTAATTATATTTTCTCAATTGATTGTGCTCTCTTGCAACACGAGTCACGTGGGTTGACATCACTCACTGGGGGAAAAGCAACGCAAGTATTGTACAAAACTGACACACGATGTGGTGGGGATTTCGCATTTTTATATTTTGGTTACAATTCGAATCTTATTAGTAAAAAATAATTAAAATATTATGTTTTTACTATTTTAGAGAACATGTGGGACACGAAAACAAAAAAAGGAGGGTAAACACCGATGGTCGACCAGTAACATGTACGTATGTCTCTACAATATTATTTACTCGTAGGAGGAAAATCGTGAATGTGTGTACTCGTATACTCCTTCACAGCTTGAGTCAATCACGAACTAATGGTCATCGCAGTATGGTTTGTTCTACAACGGGTTAAGACTAATTAAATGATTGTAAATGTATGAACTGCTTACAAAAATATACGATAAAATATTAGTGAATTGAATTGAAATTGTATAAATATTTAAAGCAAATTGCTTACAATAAATACCAACCCGTCTGGCCAGCGTGGTATAGTAGGCCAAAACCTCCTTTCTAAGGAGAGGCTTATGTCCAGCAGTGGACTATTAAAGGCTGTTAATGAAAGCGTTTGTGTCCTAAGGCACACGATGATGAAGATGATGAAACATTATCGACCAAACATTTTCGTTTTCTTTGATATACAATCTTTAAATATCTTTAAAACAGCAATGTATTGGTAAACAAAATATTTGTCAAGCAAGTAAATGTTTGTCTAATGTGTTAATGGACAATAAAATAATATAACTCTCTTTACCTAACACGACACCTGAAATATGAAATTCTTTACTCCCCATTACAGAAGATAAGACAATAGGACACTCTTCGTAATGCGTCCAATCAAAGTCAGTACGAGTATGAGCCTCGTCAACAACTGTGTGGAAAACTGCGTCACAAGCAATCTCCGGCACCGGTTTATCCCCTAAGTAAGCACTTTGTGCCTTGACTTTAATTATTATTTTATGCAGACATGCTATTGAAAGGAGAGCTGTGTGACAATAGCTCGACAGAGGTGCGGGGGAGGGGTCTCATTGTGCGCGGCCGGGGCGCACACAATGGCGCGAGGACGTTCCAACAAATGCCGAACGCTGATTGATTCCGACTTCAGTTCAGGCGACACTACATTGAGATTGATTGTGTTGCTACCCCCGACCCCTTACAATCACCTACCTCCCTCTGCCTCGACCCTGAGTCACTAACTTATTTGTGTGTAACTAAAAATAAAAAAAAAAGTAAGTAAACTAATTAGAAATTTGAATTATAAACAAAATGAAAGATATTGATCATCACACTAGCCAGTTTTAAAAATGCTAAAATATAAAACATGTCTTGGGCTTCTACTTATATACTCTCAATTGTTACACCGTTTTACAACGTATCTCGATCAATTATACTCATTTGCCCATACTTATGAGGTCGCGTAGTCAGTTGACGTCTGCCTACGCGATCACTAGTCTGTACATCAGAGCATGGGCACCGTTAGTGTAAAAGGCACTTGTCTCTCTAACTACATGGCGCCAAGTACCTACTTGGCGTAAAGAAAATTAAAAATATCGAAAATGTGGTAGTTTATAAAGAAATTTGTACTGTCTTTTACACCCTCCATCGTATCGCCCTACGGATGGTGTGCACCCTATAGCCGTTCGATCTATGACCATTCAAAAATACAACCTGGTCAAAACTACCTCTCTTACTAAAATAATTTAATTGATTTAAATTATATTCTAATGGATTATAATAGAAGTTTTGATAGTTAGTGTTAAGTAACAACCTAAGGAAACAACATGATTGAACAATGCGTGCTATAAAAACGAGCTGCATTTCGCTGAATTGCGCGTACTCGCTCATTCTCGCTCGAGCCGACGCGTTGGGCTGTACGGATCTATGTACAACTGTTGGTAAGACCTTGGAATACTTCAGTAACTGTATTTACTGTTGTTGTTGTTGTTATTTACTACACATGTTAAATAAAAGTAACGTTTTAAATTGTTACACCCTAATCGTATATTGTTCCAGTTCACAATATGTTCTTAAATGCTAAAAATGTTAGTTGAATGTTCTGTTTAATGTAAATGTTACAATGTTGCTACGAATACACCCGAATATCGCGGTCACCTAAAATGCACTGCGCAAGTAAACGTTTGTTCTAAATAGGTAAACGCGTCACGCGCTCAGTGCTTACGATACACCGAACACACGACAATCTAAAGAATGACGTGGGCCTAGCTGTCGTCACTCTATTCAAAAACAACCCAGACATCGGTCCTCCGTCATATATAATACATTCACCTCCGAGCCTAAGTTCAGCGGCGGCTTGCGAAGAGTCAGTTCCTCGGCGTGCGACGCACTGGTAGACGCCGCGGTGCGAGCGCGCGACTCCCCGCAGCGAGAGCTCGGCGCCGGCGGCCACGGGCGCGCCGTTGTGCAGCCACGACAGCGCCGCTCCGCTGTCCGAAGAACTGCACGTGAAACGCGCCGTACTGCCCGTGTCCGCCACCTGCGCGTGTTGCCTTACATAACTAACTAATGACTTAAAGAAAAGTCGCCTACGATTAACAAATATAGAGATACTGATACTGATGTATATGTAACACATACGAGCACGGTGGGTTCGACGGTGACGGTGAGAGCATCCTGAACGTTAAGGGTTATGTGCGCGGTGGCGTCACCGTACACATTGTACGCCTTGCAGATCCACAGGCCCGTGGAGGCGCCTGTCACACGGCGAAGGCACTGCGCTGCGCCGCCCGCCCACGACCAGCTCGCTGGGGACTCCGACCCCACTGGCTCCAGGCGACCGTTCAATTCGCGGTACCACCTGTACATCATATTATATATATTTTCATTAACCGTTGCTGTACATCTGCTCTATTTTGTTAACAAATAAATAACTAACGTATAATGCGGCTGCTTAAGGTCAGTAGCGACACAGGGCAGGCACACGTCGTGCCCCGCGGGCAGGCGCAGCTCGGCGCCCGGCGACACCAAGCGTGGCGCTGAGTTTGCAGAGGTAGCTGTCGAAATACGTACCGTCAGCGTACTTGTACTAAACAAGTTTTACAAACTAACTAAACGTAATAGGCGTATTGAAAATAAGTACGATTTAAGAAGTGACATTGAATACAACGTTAGCGTTCGTGTAATTACGGTACTACTGTGAGTTAATCAAATAATAAAAACATTGCGAGTGATGTACGTGACACTCCTAAACGGGCGTACAGGTTAGCAAGCGAAGCCGCTACTAGCGCAGACGTCGCGGGCAGGAGGGAGGACTCCGCCCCTCTAAGTAGTTGAGTTGACTCACTATTAGTATTTATTACACATATGACATTAGTAATTCCGATGGCACTGTATTTATCATAAATTTAAATAATTAATTTAAAAGTTCATTTTACTTAAAGTGCTTATGAGAAGCAACTAAAATACCAATAGCAGATCATCACAATTCTCCTGTCCTTTACAATACATGGTCAATCACACATACATGGGTAATATTGCAAAAGGTTATGGTTAATTTCGTTTACGGGTGGCCGTCTGCCCGACTCGAACCTTCCTTATGAATGTTATCGTTTTTAAATGGGACAGAGGAAGAACGGAAATTAGGGTAAACAAACGGATAGGGTGAGGGAGGTAAGGAATGCTGCTGGTCTCGGATTTGGTAAGAGATGATTACCGAACGTACGTCCTGTGATTCGCGAGGCTACATTTAGTTGTAAAAACATACGTATGAATAAATCGGGTTGATTTGTTCATTTCTAGAGTGTGTGCAGACTTACGAGTCACAGTAAGGTGTGCAGGTCGGGCTCGCTTTGTCGTGGCGGTAAGCGCGTGACGCGCGAGGCAGCTGTACGCGACTGCGTCACTCGCTGCTACATCTCGGATCAGCAGCGTGTTGCCTGCTACAATGTGTCGGGAATCTAGTGCAAGAAACACGTAAGGAGTACTCGTACAACTCAATTATTTTGTGTCGAGAATGTGCCGATACTTATAGTTCATTTATTTAGAAACAATCATATAATTGTGTTTGAATGTACAACACTTCGCAGTAATAAAAAATATTAAAAAATAGAACCAAAAATGTCAATAACATAATCAAAAACAAATTAATTAGATGGATTTTACAATATGTCATGCAGAATAAAAAAAAAAACTACAAAAACAAACGATAAATTATTAAGGCATGTCATGATTCAAAATATTATAAATATTAATAACTGGGACGATCCTTTAAGTTAAAATGCAGTTAGTTACATTTTTACCAATAAAATGTCTGCCTTGGTCCAGCGCATGGTTTAAAGATTTATTACGGGAACAGTAATTTATAAAATCTGTCTGGTATCTGGTCAGTCGCTCACATTATAACACACCCTCTTGTGCGCCCCATTTGTCAGCGTCACGCGTGACTCTCCACTACCACCAACAGGATCGTTTTTCTCATAAATTAGAAATGGCCTTAATTAATACAATTTCACCCTCACCCACAGTATAAACATGGCGGAGAATATTCTTTTGTTCGGTCGCCAATTTTCCGACGTTTTTTCTCATTTGGCATTTTAATGAATAAACATAATTGAAGTAATCTCTGGCGAATTAAATAGCTAATTAAATACTTAGAAGTTTTGAGTTAGGACGGATTATTTTCATTAAGAGAGAGACCCATTTCTCTCATTTAGTATTAATTATTAAATTTAAGGTAAATAAACTGCCTACTGCAGTTAGGTGATGCGCGAAGAAGCGCGAGACGCCAGTGATGATGATATATTTGTTTAGTTTTAGTAACGTTTCACATTAAACATAACTGCCATTATTCTACAGCAGAGAAACAAAACGCAGATCAAATATTATGTACCAATACCTATTAAAGTTTGTTCAAAAGACCGACTCACCCGCTAAATAAAAATAGATAGATTCCTGCACTAGAAGAAAAAACAGCTTGGCACTCGATTACCGAGACGACGTGATTATGCACCCGAGTCTGGGAAGCCCTAGCCTTGTTTGAATAGAGAGGAGTTTTTGCGTTTCTCCAAGTAGACCGTCATAAGTTATGGATAACATTTTAAAGATCTGATTCAAATGTGTAAGAATTTGTAGGAGCTGTGATAAGAGCTTATTTTCTCCTAGAAGTAAACATATGTTGCCTTCATATGTTTACTCCCATTATTTCAAAAATGTAATAATGGAATCAGATTCGTATAGACTGGGGTTTATTAACATGCTTTTATTAGCTTGGTATGTATGTATGTAACGAAATATTCGAACGTAATATTGGCCCACTTCAAAACGTTGAATTTAATTGAAACTTTGCACACTAATGAGCGGACTTATAATAAGGACCGATGACAATAAAATAATTTAATAAGTTTGGGTTTTTATCCTGATTAGGATTTTCGGGATTAACAGCTTTTTCCATACCTAAAAATACAGTAATGTCTTTTGGTTCGTACTAACTACTCTTAATGAGAAAATAATATTAATTAATGACTAAATTAGCAAAAATAAATTTTGTTTAAAAAAAACACGCGTTTGTAAATAGCCGAACTAAAAATTAGAACACAATTTTCTATAAGTTCAAAAAGAAAAAAACATTTTATCATAAAAATGCGTAGGGAAGCACCCTACGCATTTTTTTTTTTTTACTTTTGAAAATATCTGTCAATAAAATATTTTTATAACAATTGAGATCTAGATCGACGCATTTATTTTAAAACTGTTTTGACATTCTTTCAGATGTGTCTTGTCAATGTGTTTTATGTTTAGTACATGTGTATCTTTAGTGGTTTTATTAATCATTTACAACGCAGTTACTTAAACAGCTATATCTGCAATTGAATGCTAACGAGATCTTAAAATGTGAGCGTCATGGTACAAACTTATTAATATATTTTATTTTATACGTACAATATTGTACAAATTTGTTCATACAAAAACTGTAATCTAAAAATTAAGATGATTATATTACTGTAAAAATAAACAACGTATTAAATATAACGTAATAAAAAACGTAAAAATAAATAATGTAATAATAAATAGACGTAAAATGTGGTAAAAAGGGATGGTATTGCAATTATAGGTACGATCCACCTTTCGCCAGTGGTTGGCATGCAAATGTATATGTACAGTACACTTCTAACATAAAATAAAAAATAAGTTAACTGTGCAGTTTGTATGTGTAGAATGCGGTATTTTGAAAGAAGAATTGTTAAGGGTAAAAAAATAATACTCGGATTTTTTCTAGTGGCGGGTTAACAGTGCTAATTGTACTCCGTGACGACTTTTAGATCCTATGTTGAATGTGTTTATAACAGTGAAGAATTTTATAAAGGCGGAGACGTCGTAAATACTTGGATTGGGCGCATCGATGTGCAGCACGGTGTCTGCCCGGTACCACAGCGCGGGCCGCACGAGCGCGGCTTGGCTCGTAGCGGCGCACGTGACAGCCCCCACACCGCCTAACACCGCCGTGGGTGCGCTCACCACTACGTCCCACCCGTTGTCTACCACTAACCAAACATTCACAATATTAATTATTTGTGAATGATCGTTCTTCCAAACAATTATTTAATTAAATTCTTTCAAATCTTCAAATATGTATATTATGTTTCATTATACGAATCATTTCAAGGGAAGTACCTGGTTGCAGTGAGACATCTCTGGAGAGCGCCACGCCGTGTGCGTTAACGGCGCGGCACCGCACCGTCGCCTCAGAGACTTGGTACCCGCCCGACGTCGGCAACATCTCCAGAGTACCGTTGCTATGTATACGTCTGTGTTATGTGACTCGCATTCAATATTTGCACTATGTTAAATGTCATTGTTGTTGTTAATGCAACTATACCTATTACTATAACACAAGGTAAATCTCATCATAGGCACCAGTGTTTAACTACTACTAGACCAGAATATTTATTGTTGTTTTGGTACAAGTTGAAGTTTGTTGTAATTTGAAAAATATACATATACAAAGCATGCGATTGTGTACCAGAATAATGATCCAGTCAAAGAGAAGAGATAGGACAAAGAACGTCTCACACTAATATAATCGCGCACGTCATGTCGTGTTGCCTCTTGTCAGAGACTACAGCGCGGTCTGCTGTCAGTATAACAAATAATGCGCCACTTGAGCGGTCTACACATCGACTAAGAGCTTTTTGTCTCACCGCATCTACTAATCAAACCATATAAATCGACTTTTCAAAGTTATGACTCTTTGAACATCTCTATTTTTTTCTCTTCAAAATTAACTTGAGTTCCTTTGATAAACGCAACAATATCATTTCATCAGTTGAAATAATTCAAGACCTGTGTAAAGCATGAAAACAAACGCACTATACTTTAGCAAAGCATTTGCTGAAATCAAACATGTGCGGAATCCCTTTGAGATGAAACTACGAGTCGACACGATAGAGTGCAGTCATGCTCATAGCCCTGTGTGCGCGTTTTGATAACGTTACGCTCCACTAACTGTAACATAAGGTACGTCTATGAAAAATATCAGTCGTAAAAATAAAACATTGTTTTGGGTCAGCCTTGTGATACAAGTCTTATCTTTGAAATGTAAATAACTTTTTCATTGTGCAAATAGTTATATTGCTATGAGTTGAGTTTATTGAATCATTTAAAAATCTATTCTGTGTAATGTAGCATAGTGAAAGTATTTACTTACTTAACGGATGGTATATCCCGAAGCGTGGTGCCATCATCAGCGAGCCAAGTGACGGTAGGCGGCGGATGACCGCGCGCGGCGCAGCGCACGCTCACCCCTCGTGCCGCTGCGTATTGAACGCGCGCGTCCGGTTCGACCACCAACGACGGACCCAGCATTGACAGCTCGCCCCAACATGCTACACGTACGATACAGCTTATGAGTTACATTAACAAGCACTCTTAAGGTGGCTCGGGTAAATCAAGTTTCTGCTGGGCCACCTGAAGACCAGTGTGTGTGACAGTGACCGATTGTGGAACAGGACCAGCGTTTTGGGAAACTTTTTGTCAGCTTTACCAGATACTATAGAAAGGTGCGGTCAAATTAAACTTAAATGTATTTTTAAATGTTATTTTATTTGTTTTGTTTTTGGATTAAGTATAGGAAACACACTTAATATTAATTTTTAAGTTAATCTCAATGATTTTGTTTTATGCAGCCATTTGAAAAAAAATGTAATTTCGTTAACGTCTTCCATGTTAAGTACTTAGTTTTACTCTTATAAGCTCTCCTAAACACACAATACCAGCACTGCACCAGCGCATACTGCACCAGTCAGTTTTCATATTCTACTTGTACCTTTTAAAATGAGATTTATACAGTTAAGCAACTTAGAAAGGATATCGGTTCGATAGTTTTGACTGTTCCAGCAGTACCAGTAATGAAAACATACCTCGATACACATTAATTTGATATTCACTTTTACAATTACACATTTACCCGTAAAGCTACCGTACCTAAATTTGTGAAATGACCTTTGGCGCCCAACGTGGGGCTGCGGGCCCGTATGTAGGTGCATTCAATAAGGAAAAGCGAAAGTTTTGACAATTGTATGTTGTCTTATGTAGAAAACCGATTTGTTTTAATACCATAATCAAAGCCACCAAAGACATTTTCACACACATTTATAAACATTCATTTCTGTGTGTGATACTAGAGATCGCCTGGTGCTCGCATGAACTATGGATATCGATTCAATTGTGATTATAGCAACGTGTCGGTTTACGCATACGAGGTATTATTTGCACCGAGATCAATTACAGTTGCTCCACAGCAACTGTAATTGATCTCGGTGCATATTGTATAAGATACAATAAATACCTGACATTAAATTTGCACTATGTACAAAAGAGAAATTAGCGGAGGTTATCTAAACTCTACTTCGGTGATCTCAAACATTATGTTTGTGTGTGTTATGTTATGTGTTAATCTTATTAACCCAACCTATCTAATAGAAAGTGAATGGAAGAAGACGAGAATGGCACACGTTTCAGAATTACAATTATGTACCGTAGCTGTATTGATTACCAGGGAGGAGATGTTTTGTTTAAAGTGTTTATTTCAATATTTTAGGGTTTCGATAACGAAACGATGAAACTTCTATCTGCGATTGGTAGTCCGATCAAGGAATGGTGAGTTTTCAATTGATTCGTAGTGAGCTGAAGCACACGCGTTAAAGTGAATCTTGTAAAAGACCATGAAGCAGGCAACTTTCACAAGAGCGAACATTACGCAGGGCGCGGCGCCAAGCCACCGCCACCGCCACCGCCGCCGCCATCGCCGCCGACGGAAAACTTCGTAAGTTCAGACGTAGCACCGCAGAGCTTCCAACTTATAAAGGTTTATAGGTTATAAGGCTTAACAGTGTTTACGTTTTGTAAGTTTTGAGTATTAACTGCTTTGTTTTTGTTTGGCTATTAATGTAACTTTTGTTTTTACACAACAAAATTGTTTTGATTTTTGTTACACATTAAAATGATTTTCCTAATAAAGTTGATCTGTATCTATTCACATAAAAAATGTAGAGGTGGCGATTCCTGAGATTGAAATATCAGGGCATCAAAATATAACCAATAGAACCCATTTATATTATTTTTATTATTTGTAAATGTTTGGTTGTACTCGTATCACGCTAAAAGTACAAAAGAAGCGTGACGATACAAAACTATTGACCATAATTTTGTTGTACATTAAGTTACTGTTTAGAAACAATTTATAGAACGGGGCAGAAAATTACGACATAAATAATTAGTATTATCTTTGTGCGATAGTTGGCGATACACAAAACATTTTTTAAAGAAGAAAAACTGGGGCTGGATACGTTCACATAAAATAAGTGCCAATCAAATAAATCCTAACTTTGGCATCTCAAGTGCGGAAAGTTTAGTTTAGTTTTAAATAATTAATTACTTGAAACCGATGCACAACATAGCAAACGTCCTGTGTGTAGATTGATTTTTATGTTACGTAATTCTACACCTACAGTGATAGTAAAAGTTAAATACACCAAATTAAATTAAAGTCGAATTTCAGCCTCTTGGTGATCGCTATATATTGACATAAATACTAATAATTATCAAAGGTACGCAATATACAAGTCGGGCTAGATTGTATCCTAAAGAGGAACAAACCTTTTGTTTTCTAATAAAATGCAAAAGTAAATAAATTTAAAGAAAGAGAAATACTAATAGCTCTATGTAATATATGCAGCCTAAATATAAACTCAGATCATAATACAAGCCATTTCATCACCTGCGAACAAGAACCAATCGCATCGTTTGATCTCAGGTTGTCGATAGAGAAACACATAACTTGGATATATTGAGATGGACTGACCTGTGACTAAGACTTTTACGCCTAACTATACCTATGTATGTATATGCAAACTTAATGCTGTTAAGACACTATTGAGGAACGCGGTCCGCTTTTATCAGCTAACCGAGAGCACTATGCACTGTAACGAAAGTCAGTGAGCATTGCTCGATATACGATAGCAAACGTAGAGTTAATTGCGATGAGTTATCTTAGCCTCTCTATCAAGTAGCAGTAATCAATTCACATACAGCGACATGTTTTAAAGGAAGTAAGGAATCTACAAATACAAACGTGGCAATAAAAACCGGATATGTATGTATTAAAATCTGCAAGGATTTGACTCACTCCCCGAGTCGATCCTTGCAGATTTTAATCGAGTTTAGCTTCGTATATTTTTTATAATAAATTGACTTATAACAAACTTGACTTAAAAAAAATAGTATAACAATAATTCGTCTTTAGATGAATCGAGGATTCAACGATAAAATCGTTGGACTTTCACGATTAGTTGGTCCGTAAATATAAACTTGGAAGCGAATGGAGCAATAAAACTTTATTTTTCCTTTTTATTTGATTATCTCTGGCAACAGTCGCAATGTATCCCGGGATACGAGTTCAAATAGGAAGCGCGGTGCAGCTCTGAACGAACAAAAGACTAACTTCGGGCCACTTAAAAGTCTAACAGCTTAACTTCAGTTTTAAAACCGTTTGACCTAAAAAAAAGTGGGCGCCGAGTGGCTGCGAGCGACTTGGAGCACCGTGCCGCTCCTGGCGGCGGCCCTTCTTTGACAAACTTCGCCCTTGTGAGCCATCATCATCTAAACTGTAATTCCCTTAACTTTGAAGCGACTTGTTTGTTCCAATTACTTTGTGTTCTACTTTAACAATTAACTGAGACTAAAAACAACGTTAGCATCAAGCCTACGCGACGACATTTTATCAGTTTATATTGTGACCCGCTTACTTATTGTCATGTGTGAGCAATCAGTGCGTGCCCTTTGACGTCGCTGGATATAACATCTGGCTCCCACAAATAGAGTTATGAAGGAAGCGTGTGCTTTAGCGGGTAGTGCGCTGGACCCTTGATGACTATTTGTTGAAACACCAGAAGTAAACACACGATGCTTCCAACTGTTTCAAACTTAAAAAAAACTAGGAGCCCGTTGAAATGTGCGTAATGTTTGTTATTGTTACAAATTTCGATGTAGTTAGAGTATTGAATCATTCAAATCGTTGTTTTTAAATACTTAAAGTTTTTACCGACTACATCAAGTCACATCACAAGATTATCTAATATACAGGATTACGGCTTGTACCTTTATATGTATGTAATGAAATGAATGACATTTCATTAATAAAAAAAACAACATAAAAATGAAGTCGCTCGCAGCCACTCGGCGCCCACTGTTTTTTAGGTCAAACGGTTTTAAAACGACATTTAAAGTTCACTAATATCGCTTCCTCAATCGTATCCTTCGGTTTATCTCTCTACAAGTTTTAATAACAATAAAATGCACAAAATAATCTAAGCGTCATCTGCCATTGAATCATAGTTCACATGTCACTTCGATGTGCGAAATTCATATTAATGAAATGTCATTCATAATGAATAATAATTAATGAATTTAGTAGACCACTACACAAGATATGCATTTATTGCGACTTCAAAAACCCAGAATGCAAGTGATTTTTTAAATCTAACAAAGAAAGTACTAGAGACAGATGAAATTGGAATTATCCTGACAGATCAATATCCGGGCATTAATTCACGAGAATTTAAGCAATACTTGCAGGAGAATAATATTAATCTAATTTTTACAGTTGTGAATACACCATTCTCGAACGGCTTGAATGAAAGATTAAATCAAACAATAGTAAATAAAATAAGGTGTAAAATGAATGAAAATAATAATAAGAGAACATGTACAACACTAGCAAGAGAATGTATACAGAAATATAATGAAACAGAACACTCCGTTACAGGTTTTGCACCAAAATATTTACTGGATGGTACAAATGTCAATATTCTACCAAATGAAATTAAAACAATAGAAAAGGAAGACAAGTGGATTGCTGATAGAAGATTGGCATTAGAGAATAGAATAAAATCCCATGAGCACAACAAGAAAATATTTGATAAAAATAGAAAAATGCAAGAGTTTAATGTAGGAGACAGTGTATATGTAGAAAATGGAAATAGACTGAATAAAAAGAAATTAGACGAATTAAAAATAGGCCCTTTCAAGATAATAGAAAAAAAATCGAATTCCATTTATAGGATTGATACAGGCAACAGAAAAACAGAATCAACATTATTTCACATAACAAAATTACAACCTGTCGTAACAGAAGCTGAAGAAGATTAAGGAGAAGAAAACGAATATGAAGATAACTTATAGGTACATTGTATAGATATATTGCTTAGAATTTTCGCTCTTAGGGGGGGGGGGGGGGGGGGGATGTAATGAAATGAATGACATTTCATTAATTTGAATTTCGCGCATCGAAGTGACATGTGAACTATGATTCAATGGCAGATGACGCTTAGATTATTTTGTGCATTTTATTGTTATAAAAACTTGTAGAGAGATAAACCGAAGGATACGATTGAGGAAGCGATATTAGTGAACTTTAAATGTCGTTTCCTTGTATTTTCAGGTGAGATAGAAGTGTAATTGTCATAACTTGATAATTGTTGTAATATTGTAAAGGCGTATTAAATAAAACAGAACTTTGTATTTTCAGAGAAACAATTTATGGTTTATTTTGAAGATCCTCAATAACATACCTTATATGTATTAATGTGAAAGGGAGCCTATCTGTTTGTTGTACCCGGAACCAATGGCGCGGAACTGTAATGGTATCCTAATTTGACAGTAACCTCGAAGACAGGATAACCACATTCATAATAATAGATATACATAAAGTTGCATTTGGAAAAGTAAAGAAGCAAAGTTTGAATTGGATTTGCTCAGCACTGTTGAGAAGTACACACACACAAATATAGTGTTAGGTTACAGAGTAACGGTTAGGTAGCTGTCTGAATTTTGCGGTTACTCCACCCCGAACAACTCGCGAAGTTGAGACGGTTGACGTTATAATCAAGAGTTTCAGACGTCTTACGAAAATGCTCTAACCGCACCACGATTCTCAACTTATCTAACTAGTGAAAGAGCAAGCAAAAAACTTGACGCACACGCGCACGTGTCTACACGAGAGCTGAAAATATTTAACGTGAGCCTCCTAAGTTTATGATATTATCCTTCCTCTTGACGCGCCGTCGTTATTATTTGAGTAGACGCACGCAGACTTAAGTTTTCACGAACTCGTGTCAGGTGGATTTATTACAGACATACCAGAACGTTCAAACTTATGGAGTTATATATTAAAATTAATTTTAAATTACAGCACAACTATTGTTGTTAATGCGCGTGTGTGTTATAATTCATTCAGTACATGACTCCGATTATATAAATGTAAATATAAAATATAAAAACTTGGATGTTTGACGTCACTGCTGTTTACTGCTTATGCGTGTATAGCACTATTGTGACAAACAACTACGCGATATGTTTGAAACTCTTTTTAAACGTAATTTTTATTGCAGTTGTTGATCATTTAATATTTTTCGTAATCAATACAACATTAAACATTGTATATGTACAAGATTGAACATTATAAATGTTTGATGTTATATAGATATGAAAAGAAAAAAGATTTTATAAAATGAATTGTACGAGTTTATTCAGACATATAGACATTCGTTTATATATTCAATAAAATATTTTTTACTGTCTTAAGTTGTATTTTTAATTGAGATTGTGAAATCGTATTGTTACCGATTCGAATTGTTTGCAACCTTAACACCTCAAACAAAAGGACGGATTATATAAACTATCAGTTCAAGGTACTATGATACTTCGCCCTGAGACCGCACACCATCTCTCTTTAGACTACATTATGTTTAAGCGGAATGCTCTGAATTTGTACTCACCAGTAAGCAGTGAAGCAAAGAGCAAGGGCCAGGTTAGCGCGCCCATGGCGCCGCGACCCGCACCTGCAACGATACACATGACTGTCACTTGTTTCACCACTTCACACTTCTTGTACTTGCTACTTATTATTACGAGGCCAAAGAAAACATGTAATGAGAAATAATTTATACACACAATATTTCATACAAATGGTGTATCACAGAGTTGCGTTTTTTAAGAAATTTATTGAGTTCACTAATTAATTCATCTTAAATAATACAATGTTTACAATTTTATATAAATATGCGTCGTTTTAAAATAAGGATCTAGGTTCTATAGCACAGTGACCGATACGAACGAGCTTTTGAAGCGAGGCGTACTTCACTGTATCCTTCGAAAGGGCGCAAATTATGTACATGTATAGAACATTAATTTAGAGTTGAGTGAGGTACGAGGGAGGGCGACCTTCGTCAACTTTGCGGTTTACTTAAAATATTCCAAATACGATACTAAACTGCCAATTATAGTGGACCATGGCCTGCGGGTATACTACATAAGCGATATAGCTTGTATTTTACACCATAGTATGTAATTTAACCACTTCCATTTTATGAAACGGATTTTTTATATATCACTTGCTGGCGTTGGCTTTTCATTTACGATAATAATTCTACGATTATAATGTGACTAATTATTATGGTTAATTGAAAAAAAACCTTTCACAGTCATCAGTTTCACAGACTCAATATCCAAAGAAGGAAAGAGATACTATTCTTTCATTAATGTAAGTCGTCATGTTGTGGCATGACAGAAGTATGTATATGTGTGCAAAGTGCTAGGAAAAGATGTCCCATCACATAAGAGAGTATTTATTGGATTGCAAGTATTAAATTTGAAGTTGCCGACTTAGTAAGTGAGTACCACCCTCTTGCAGATGCCCGTGGCCAAACTACTGGAGTAGTTTGGCCACGGGCTTGCAAATTGTTTTATTTCCAACGCTGAGTAAAGATGCCTAAGCTATTCAATGACGATATCGTGGTCATTATTTAACGCAAATATGCCGTATTAAATGTGACAACAGATCTCCAAAGAAAAGGAAATTTGAAACACACCCAACAACCTATCTGGGCAGCGTCGTATAGTAGGCCTAAACCTCCTTTCTAGGAAGAATTTTGACAGCCTTTAGTTGTCTAGCAGTGGACTACTTAACGCTGTTGATGAAGATTCATAATTAAACGGATCATTTCCTTGTTTGCCACTTCAGTATAAAAACCTCTCTTGTCTCTTGTTTAATGATTTATCTACTTAGATATAATATTTACATAACATAAATAAAGTCGCATTTTTGTGTTGTACGCTTAGGTCTTTTAAACTAAGTCACGGATTTTAATGCGGTTTTTCAAAGAGAGAATTATTCAAGAGGAAAGTTTATACGTATAACACATGTATATTGTAGTAGAGAAAATCCAAGAATCTCAAAGATTTGTTGTAAAAAACATGCAAACTCTAATGCGGGGGCAAAGCGGCCGTCTCCGCGTCGGGCCGTACGTCCGTCCCGGGAGCGGCAGCGGCCGGCAGGAGCGGAGTGGACCTATACATATTGTATTTAAAGATATCCCGTAGTATAGTCTTATCATAATAATAGTACAATTAATTACTCTACACTGACACCGCATTAGGTAGTCGTATTAGTAGTACCTACATTACACCCGTGCAAAGCCGGAGTGTATCGCTATTGTATTATTCAATATCAAAAAGTCTATACATCGTTGTACCCTCAACCAGTAGGTGAGGTCCACACCCGCCTCTATTACCTATCTCAGTCTCTAATTATTACGTGTGATATATTCGAGGTAGAAAGTGTCACCTTTAATTTAAATTGTCTCCGTAATTAAGTAATTTGGTTGGGTACGCTATTCGCGCGTGTGCGCGGCCTCTCGCGCTTCGTCGATGTGTGGGAATGAGATTATTTGCAAGTATATGATAATTATGTGCTTTAATGTGAGACGGTTCGTAAACTTCATTAAGTTGTTAGATTGTATCTTAAATAACGTATTAAGTTCTTACATAACAGTCAGGCACCTAAGATCATCGCAGAAATGAAAGTTAAAGATACGCAGGATTACGCAGATAACTGTTACGCAAGATAATCTTTATATATATAATTCTTCTGTGAGTGTGTATGTCACTGAACTTCTCTCAAACGACTGGACCGATTTTGATGAAATTTTTTGTGTGTGTTCAAGGGGATCTGGGAATGGTTTAGATTCACAATTTTGAATGGTAAGGGTGACCCATCCCTAATTTTTTTTTGTTGCAATACAACGTTTGCCGGATCAGCTAGTCTTATATATAAAATTCTCGTGTCACAATGTTCGTTCCCGTACTCCTCCGAAACGGCTTGACCGATTCTCATGAAATTTTGTGTGCACATCGGGTAGGTCTGAGAAACGGCCAACATCTATTTTTCATACCCCTTAATGGTAAGGGTGACCCATCCCTAATTTTTTTTTGTTTTGCAATACAACGTTTGCCGGGTCAGCTAGTTGTTATATAAATTAATCATCCGTCAACGATATTTTGTTCAACATTGCACCAAGATATTAGTTCAGTTCTGTAATTATCGTTTCTAATTCGCTCCAGCGAGTCATCGTGGAGTGGGCAGAGCGACAACACAGGACTCTTTCCTTAAGGCTGACGCAGGTTCTTTCTGGGCACGGCTACTTCGAAAAATACCTGCACTCGGTCGCTAGTAACCTGTGGTGGTGACCCGGCCTGAGCATCGCAGTGTCGCGTCCTCATTGCAGGCATTGGCAGGGATATCTCGCTACCGGCCGTCATACGCTCCATGGCCAATAGTGACAGATGTTTTACATGTGTTCACATCCTTCTGCGAAGACGTCATCTCGTAGAAGGTGGCGGCGAAGAGAGCGCGCTTATCAGAGCCTCATGCCGCCCTGAGTGTGGCCGCGGGTAGACGGGACGGGTTTTGCTCCTCCATCCGCTACAGTGGCCAGTCGCGAGGAGGCGACGTCCGTGTGTGCCGGACGTCACCTAAATGGAGAACTTCCCCAAAAGTGGTGCCTGCGCTGTTGCCTGCAGGCGCTGGGAGGGGTCCGGATGACTTAATATCAGCAGCCGCGGAGTGGCACACCGTGGTTATACTGTGGTTACATAATGTCTTCACAATTTACAGTGGTTTGGTGAACTACGTATGTATGTAGTACTGCTCTTTGCACTTACATAAATATGTATACACTCACACACGTACTCATACGCAGTCTAATCAGGTCTAATGCACAGAGATGTGGTATGTCGAACATGATATAATTGTGCATTAATTACAACAGATGTCATCGACTGCTTTATGTAGTGGCTTGATCAGCGCTACTGATCATTTGCGCTTCCTATTACTCATAAAGTTATGTCAAAGTATCATACATGTGTGTTGATACCAAAAGAGTCCTGTGATGTTCACTAACAATATTAACAGTGAAATCAGTGGCGGTTGAAAAAATCACTTTGTTTACCCCATAAGTTTTCTTTACATGCAATTGACAGCTTACTCTTATGGGTTATTTTTACAAAGCAAGTGCTTCTAGTATTGACTCCTTCAAACACTTACTGAATGGAACGTTAATTGATATATGAGACCGCACGAGTGTTCGTGTATTAGACACCCGCAAGCAGTAGTGGGTAGTGAGTAGTGATTAGGGTAACTTACAATGAGACCTGTTTGCGTTTGCTCTCGAGATCGCCTGGAGCACATATTATGTTTGGCCTCCAATTAACTTTTAGCGCCTGTTCCACCTGAAGATGAATAGCACTAGAGCTGCGCCGCTCACATTCAATAAACAGAAAGTATTTGCATTTTTTCCTTACTGTTGAATATTAATGAAACGCTTTTCGACATTTATTTAAATTGCGTTGAAATTATGAATGGATTTTACGTGTTTTGTAGGTATATAAAATTATTTAACGCTGATTTTATTCCAAAGCATATAAAACAGTAATTAGAATTTTTAGGTAGTCATAATACAGTAACATTATATTACAATTTGTGTACCGGCCCCGCCTGTTGTACGACGTCTCTATAATGTAATTGTACATTAGAGCGTCAACTAAATCACTCTTAAGAGGGACCCCACATCCGCTCCTACCTTCTCCGCAGTCCGGTGTCAATAAAGTTATTACGTTTCAACATTATTACCTTGCAGCCGACAGGCCTAAATACTTCTTACGTTTAAAAGAAGAAAAAGAAGAATATGAGGATAGAGTAGTGGTAAATGTAAACACAACAACGTTTCTAGGCTCATAAATTGATAATCATTTAAACTGGAAGCCACATGGAAGACGCACTCATGACAGCCTACCGTGGGATATCTGCACCCCTCTTACGTTATGGACTGATCTTCTGGGGTAACTAAACTGACGCAGTGATGGCATTTAAATGCAAAAAAAGGTAATTTAGATCAATGTATACTATAATTTAAAAAAGTACTAACGCTACCTAGCCTGTACGTCATTGAGGTTGGAGTGTTTGTGAAATAGAATCCTCACTCATTTCCCACCTTAGTATTTACGGTTTCCCGCAATAGGCGAGATAATAGTAGACTCCGTTTGCACAAGTCTACACCGGCTTTTTGCGCAAAAGTGTCATGTGGATTCCTCCAATAATTTTTAATTTACCTTTAATTACCTTTAGGTTATTTATTAAAAATGAATAATAATTCATTCAAAAATCGCTTTAAAGACTTTCTTATACAAAAGGCATACTATGGTGTTACAGATTTTTTGGCAGATTGCATTCAATAAATACTTAAATAACGTAATATAATATTAAAATGTAATCTCTTTTTTAATAAATATAATTTGTGTATTTATTTATTTTTATGTTAGAGGGGGCAGACGAGCAGACGGGTCACCTGATGAAAGTGACCATCGCCGACCATGAACATCTGCAACTCAGGAGTCACAAGCCGGCCGGCCTTTTAGAAACGAGTACGCTCTTTTCTTCAATGTTTGAAGGTCGTATCGGTCCGGAAATACCGCAGACGATAACCCGTTTCATAGATTGGTTGTGCGGCGCAAAAAGTGTA